GTACTGTGCCCTGACGTCCCCACACGAGAAGCGGCACGTTCCCCCGGGAGCCTCGGGCGTGCGGTTCTGCCTTCACACACCGGTGTCCGCGTTCGTGCCTGGACACGGTTCTAACGTTCCGCCCCAACACCCGGACGGCACCGAGCTGCCGCGGGCCCCTTGCCTGACGCTGCTCTTCACCGAGAAAGAAGCCAGTGCTGAGGGCACGTGCTGGTGCTTCGGCGCGTCGGCAGTGGCCCTGGCGAGCCAGGCCGGGTTTCCCCCGGGGACGGTGGTGCCGGGCGCGGGCGGAGCTTCCCTGTCGTCCTGCCAAGTCCGGTTGCTGCACTCGGGGAGAAGCCCGAACGGTGGGGCCGGGGCCGGGGTGGGCCCAGCGTCTCTGACCTGCACCCTGGGCCCCGCTTTCGTTGTGCAGGGGTGTGTCTGGGGCCGTGGGAGTCCAGGTCAGAGGCGAGGTAAGGGCAGGTGGGGGGTGTTCACAAAGACAGGTTACGTGGGGCTCAGAGTCCGTGTAGACCCAGGAGGTTTTGGTCCTGACACCAGGGGCCTCCCCGCGTCTGTCACCCAACACAAGGACGGTTTAAGCGCCGGGTTATGTGGCCTGGGCTGCTCTCACTGATTAAGAAACACTGGCTGCTTGGGGGCCAGCATTTCGATTTCTGGATGCAGAGGGGAACCAGTTAGGTCAGGAAGTATCCGCGGACGACTAGAAAGGCCCTCCTTGGCCGGACGTACAAACCCCCCCCCCCGCCCCCGCCTGTTGGTGTAAACCCAGTGTGACAGCGCCTCACACCAGTGCTCCTGGCCCCGCCCAGGGACCGAGCCGGCGTCTGCCTCGGGGACTTTCCCCGACATCCCATGCCTTTAATCCTAACACTTCCTTTCTAACCGTATTTCATATGAAAGTCCTAGAAAAGGCCCGAGTCCCCGGGTTAGTTTAAGCTTCACATGGGAAGCTGCATTTTATTTGTTTACTTTCCATTATTATTATCATTATCATTATCATACAAAGAAACCTTCACTGGATAGGAAGTAAAGTTTCAAGGAGCTACTTCAAGTTCTAAGTTTAGAATTCACATAACCGACACCAAAATGTTTCTTCCTGCCTTTTGCCTACGTGTTTCTCCCAAAGCCAGGCTGTTTTTGTAAGGACTGGATACAAACTAACATCTGACTGTTCACAGTGAGCCACTGCTCAGGACCTAAGTCAGTCTCTTGCTGTATTTTAAGCTGCTGGTACGTCTTCTCTCTTGAACAACATACATGTTTTACAAACATGCGTGTGCTTGCTGCATCCACACAACAGCCCTACAGAGGTAGGTGTGAAGACTCCCGTGTTAGTGGTGCAGCTCGGGGAGGTGAAGTCACACTCGCCAACGCGTGGCAGGGTGGGACTCAAGCCCAAATATAACTCCACAGCCCAGTTTCTTTCCATGTAATTTATTTTTTTAATTTTAATTTTTTATTCTTTCTTTCCATGTAGTTTGTATTTAAAGTCAGGTTTTTTTTGTTTTTCTTATTTTTTTTAATGTTTTATTTATTTCTAGGAGAGAGAGAGAGACAGCGTGAGCAGGGGAGGGTCAGAGAGAGAGGGAGTCACAGACTCTGAAACAGGCTCCAGGCTCTGAGCTGGCAGTCAGCACAGAGCCCGACGCGGGGTCGAACCCACAAACCGCGAGATCATGACCTAAGCGAAAGTCGGACGCTTAACCGACTAAGCCACCGAGGCGCCCCTAAAGTCAGTTTTTAAGTAAGAAATTTCCATGCTAGTCTCCTTACCCAAAATGGTCCACATCTCTGATTGGCAAATACGGTGTCCTGGCGATCTTTGATGCAGATTGATAGCCTGTATCAGTCCACTTAAAATTTAAACTCTGTGGTTCCGGTTACAAGGTCAAACCGTGACATTTGCGGTACAGATCAGCGCGCACCACGCCCCATGTCCATAGAGTCAAATGCAGACTCCTCGCCATGGTTTACGAGGCTGTCGTCAGCCACGCCTCACCCCCCTCGCCCCTGCTCTGAGTTCTCTGATACTTCGTGCGCTCTCACATCAGGCCCTTGACCCATGGCTGTTTCCCCACTTCCCTGCCCCCTCCCGCAATTTTATGAAACGTAGGCCCAGCTCAGATAACATTTCTTCTAAGGAATCACTCCTACCCGCCCTCAGACCTGGTCTGTGTGCCCTCTGGGCCCCGTCCATGCCCTGTGCTGCCCGTCCTGGCAAGATACAGAGGCCGCCAGAATCTCCCGTTCGGTGTCCCTGTGCTGGACGCGAGCCGCAAGAGGTGGGGCGCTGCCTGTGTGGTTCACCGATGTTTCTACGCCTCCTCGACCTCGACCGGGAGCTTACATTTTCAGGGATAATCTTCTCCATCGCAGAAAACACAAACCCAGAGAAACGGGCAATTTGTTCTTTCACGTAACTCAGAATCCAGGAGGATCTGGTTTTAATGAAACCAAGTCCCCAGATGGTGTTGTCAGAGACGCGCCCCTCTCCGCGGCTCCGCCGCTGCCGCCTCCGTTTCAGCTCGTCCTCACCTAGGTGCTTCTCGCTGGGTGGCTCCGGTTTACAGCCTACCTGTCTGGCAAAGCAGCAGAAAGAGAGCGTCCTTTCCAGTGACGGGAGCGTGGGCCCCGGGGCACACCCTCCTCGGCCCAGGTTGGGTCAAATGCCCACGCCTAACCCAGGCAGTCGTGTGGCTCCAACTGGCCAGGCCTTGGTTATGGATGGAAGCACGTGGGGCGGGAAGGCAGCAGGATCACCGGACCCAGCCTGTCAGCCTCCTGAGCCCTTTCAGAACCCGAAGTGCCGGGTGGGGTGAGGCCGGTGCGGGTCCTCAGCGGCTCCGTCCGTTTCCCCTGCGGGCCCGATGTTGGGAGCACCGGACAAGGCCAGCAGTGGCCGGGGAGTCGGACAGCCTCAGCCCCAAGTCCCGTGGGCCCTAGAACAGCCGCATTTCGTGGGAAGGGGCCTGGCTCCTCCCTCAGCCGTGGAAGCGAGACCGCTTGGGGCTGCTTCCCCTCCCGGTGCAGAGGAGGGAGGTCCCACGTGAGCTCCCCCTTTCCCATCGCGGGGTGGCCTCCCCAGGGACTCCCCCGCGGCCAGCCGTCTTGCGGTAGGACATTGTAAGTAGCTCATCGTCTCCAGGTTTAGGGTTGGTCTTTAGCATGTAAGTTAGTTTGTTGATGTGTTTGTTAGTTAGCTGGCTTGGGGAAGACGTATGTGACCTGAGGATGAAAATGGGATGGGGGGGGGTTCGCAAAGCCGCTTACCGCCCCGCGTGGGCCTCGGCTCAGTGTCTCCAACGCAGAACAGCTTGTTTCCTTGCAGAGAAATGTGCCGTCAGCCAGGGAAGAGACTGTTTCTCTTTCTCTTCCTCTGACTAAATTATTTGAGTGCGGCATAAAAACTGAAACACCGTGCGTTCGTTGCAGTCTTCCCTCCCCGTTTGGCGCGCTGCCTCCTTGATCTGACCTGCTGCGCCAGGACGGTCTGCCGCAGGCACGGGGAGAAAGCACCCACTTTGGAAACAGGGCCCTGCTCCTGGGTGCGGATCACTTCCTGCTTGTACCTGCGCGGGGCTGGGGTGGACTTGACAGAGGGCTGGCCCTCAGTAAACTGTGGTCGTCACCGCCTGCCCGCCCGCTGCTTTGAAGGCCTCTGCGCCTGGAGGTCCCCGTGGCCAGGCCTGGCCTGCCGTGGGGGCCCCAAGGAGGAAGACGGGTGCCCTGTGACATGCACCCAGACATTCTCAAGGAAGATAAGGCCACCAGCGTTTCCAGGAGGTTATGGTTCAAAAGCTTGCTGGTAGCAAATCAGGACCTTAAACTCACACTCCCTGGGTCCCTGGCCCAAGCCCATCCACGCCCGTCGAGTTGCTGGCAAAAACAGTTTTTCAGCCTTCTTTTCAGAATTTCCGTGTGACAGCGTTTGGTTTTGCCGCTGGCAGAAGAGTACCCCAAGGCTTTTAGCAGCTTTGTGATCTCGAGATGGGGAGGGTGCTGTACAGGTCACTCAGGTGCGCGGAAGGGGAGGTCATGCCAGAGCCGCGTTTGGGGAAAAACCCCCAGCCGTTATCATGGGACTCGATGGTTTCCTGCACGGGCAGCGGCCCATGAACCTGAGCAGGGGCCTTCATGGCCCCTGCTCAGGTCGGTGAGCCACCCGGACGCGGGACGCGGGACGCGGTGTGACGGCCCTGGCCGCGTTCCCAGGCGCTGCTCCTGCCCCTCCAGGCCGTCCGTCTCCTCCCCGGAGCTGAGTTTTTCACTTTTGTCTCTGCCTTACGGCAGCTTGTGTTGAGGCCTGGACAACAGAAAAGATAACGTCACTCCCTGCGGAGGGCGGGCCGGGTTCTGGACGAGGGCTTTGCCCTGGCCAGCCCTGCTCGGCCGAGCGCGGCTCTCGGTCCCGCACCCCTGTGTGTGTGTGTTTCCTGCGTGATGCAAGACTCCAGTGCTCCCATCCGTTTCTTGACCGACGGCGGAGTTTAAGGAAGGGCCCTCCCTATGCCCTCACACGTCTGATTTCTTAATGACGTCAGCGTCGGCGTCACGAGTATCCAAGGACCTAGTTTCAAAGTGACTTTCCTGGTGCCCTTCGCAGAAATGCTTCTCGGGCTGTCGCGTCTGGTTTGTGCCTGAAAGGATCTTTGTCTGGAAGTAGTGCTTGGCCCTGGGTCAGAAGGCCCTGCTGGGCTCAGGGATGCAGGGGGGCCCGACCCTGCGGACGGGGCACTTAACGAGCCAGCAGCCCCCCGGGCTGAGGTCCGAGGGGCCCTCTGGGCCAGCGGGACCGGATGCCGTCCACCCGCCGGCCCGCGAGGATCCGCATGTTGAGTACGGTCCTCGGGAGTCACTTCCTGGGGCCCCTCACCCTGTGCCGAGGGGGCATCCTGGTGTCGGCGCCCTGGGGCAGCGCGCCCTGGGGTGTCCACGAGGACCCCAGCGACGAGTCCTAGCCGCCCTTGGCCGCAGTGTGCCGTTTCTCTTTCCAGCGTCCCAGTGCAACGTCAGCCTCAAGAAGCAGAGGAGCCGCGGCATCCTCAGCTCCTTCTTCTGCTGCTTCCGTGATTACAATGTGGAGGCCCCACCGGCCGGCGGCCCCAGCGTGCTTCCGCCGCTGCTGGAGGAGAACGGTGGGCTTCAGAAGGTCAGTGCCGGAGGGGAGCGGGCACCGGGCCCTACCCCGGTGGGCATCGTCCCCGCCCCGTCCCGGTGGGCATCGTCCCTGCCCCCTCCCTGCCCCGTCCCGGTGGGCATCGTCCCTGCCCCCTCCCTGCCCCGTCCCGGTGAGCATCATCCCTGCCCCGTCCCGGTGAGCATCATCCCTGCCCCGTCCCGGTGAGCATCATCCCTGCCCCGTCCCGGTGAGCATCATCCCTGCCCCGTCCCGGTGGGCACCATCCCTCCCCCGTCCTGATGGGCATCAGGAATAAGAGTCTGTGGCAGCATGAAGGCAGCCGGTCACGTACAGACCTGAAATTACCCCACAAATCATGTTCCTCGTCAGAGGATCAGTCACTCATTCCCATTTAGCACCTGAAGAACATATTTGACGAGCGTTGCAAGGATCACCTCACGTTTTTATAACGTTCTGTGTTGGGAAGTTGGCTGCGTGACACGGAAAGCTAAGGAACCAGCAGCAGAGAGAGAAGTGGAAGACATAGGAAGAAGCAGAGACATGGGAAAGAACCAGAACTAAGTATAAACGGATTTAAGTACCTTGTTTAAGAACAAGCATATTTACTGTACCTTCTTGTATATGCAGCGGATAAGAAATTTTAAGTCAGATTTTCACAAAACATAAAAAAAACTGAACTCTACCCACGTGCTGTCTAGCGGACATATCTATCCTAACCAAGCGACTCAGAACAGTTAAAAGTAAAAGGATGAGTAAAGAGATACCAGACAAGTATAAGCAAAGAGAAAGCAGGGATTACAACATTAATCTCAGTCAGAATAGAATTTCTGTAAAAATCACTCAAGAGGCAAAGAGGATTATTTGCTGTGAAGATAGTTGAGATCGAGGACACAAAAACCGTAAAACGTCACGTCACGTTCCAGATAATGGCAGCAAAGGACATGAGCAGGCATTTCACAAAATAAGAAGGACAGGCTGGTAAACGTGAAGAAATGTTCAGTGTCACTATTAATCAAACAAACACAAACCAAAATGGTGAGATAGCCTTTTCTACTCATCATATTATTGAGGATATTTATAAAAATATTTGGATTTGGATGAGGGGAGTGACAGAGCAGTTAGAAGATACAATCAGTTATTTGTAGCCATGTGAATTGGTTACAACTTTCCTGAAGGCAGTTTAGCAGTATCATCTTAAAACCCTAGGAATTATTTATTGGCATAATTATGGATTATTGAACTGTGAGATACCATCCAGCATAGATTCTAATATTGCAGAATTGTAAGCAATCTGGTGATCAACAATAGGAAAATTTTAAAAACGTGGAATAAGCATATAGTGTGCAGCTATTAAAACCCACCTCTCACGGGGCGCCGGGCTGGCTCAGTCAGTTAAGCGTCTGACTTTCGATTTTGGTTGGGTCATGATCCCAGGGTCATGGGATCAAGCCCCGTGTCGGGCTCTGCACTGAGTGTGGAGCCTGCTTATGATTCCCTCTGTCCCCCTGTGCTGGTCTCCCCCACTCATGCTTCTCTCTCTGTCTCTCAAATCAGTCAATCAATCAATAAGGCATCTCATAAATATTACTGACATAGGGAGATGTTCACACTATGCCACTTAGGGGATAGAAGACGTAAATGTAGTAGGTGAGTGTATTTCCAAGTATATGCATACTTCTCCATATGCCAGAAATGAAGAGATTATCTCGGGCTGGTGGGATTTATATAGGATTTTCTCCCCTCTTCTGTGCTTTATTTCTTTCTCTTTTTCTCTTGCAGCTTTTCCCAGTTTTCACAAAATAAGCTTAAATGACTTTTGGGATTAGAAAATAAATTATTTTATTTTTATTTATTTTTAATATTTATTTTTGAAAGAGAGAGAGACGGAGCGTGAGTTGGGGGAGGGGCAGAGAGAGAGAGAGGGAGACACAGAATCCGAAGCAGCTCCAGGCTCCGAGCTGTCAGCACAGAGCCCGACGTGGGGCTCGAACCCACAAGCTCTGAGATCATGACCTGAGCCAAAGGTGGACATTTCACCAACTGAGCCACCCCAGCGCCCCGAAAATAATTTAAAAATTTTTTTTTATTTTAATTTTTTAATGTTTTATTTATTTCTAGGAGAGAGAGAGAGAGAGAGACAGCGTGAGCAGGGGAGGGTCAGAGAGAGAGGGAGTCACAGACCGAAACAGGCTCCCGGCTCTGAGCTGGCAGCCAGCACAGAGCCCGACGCGGGGCTCGAACCCACGAACCGCGAGATCATGACCCAAGCGAAAGTCGGACGCTTAACCGACTAAGCCACCCAGGCGCCCCGAAAATAATTTTAAAAGTATACATGAATGTAAGGAGAAGGGTTCTGGGGAGAAGAAAACCTGAGCACATGGCTCTGACCATTTAAATTCTCTCTCCGGATAAACCCGGGGGAGCCTGCCAGTGGAACCCGGAAAGTGCACGAAGGCCTCTGGGCTTCCTGGCCTCTCCGGGGGAAGAGCAGGCACGGGACTCATCCTCTCCGGGCCTCAGTGAGAAGCAGGAAGCCACCAGCAGAGGGAAGAGCTTGCCTCTCCTGGAATCCTCGGACAGAGGCCTGAACCAGACGGTCCCATGAGGCGGCTGGGCCGCCGTGGAAGGGCCTGCACTCGCCGCTCGACGCGTGTGGTCCGTGGAGGGGCTGACCTGATGACTGGATGGCTTCACTTCTTGTGCCCTCACGCAGCCCAGGAGTGCAGAGCCTTCCTCCTGTCCTCGTGGTTTGTTAGTTTGGGCTCTGCTGGACCGCGGAACAGTGCTCCTTGCCACACCTGACGGTGCTTCCTCGTTTGCTGACAAGGTCCGAGTTGAAAAACTACACAGCGTGGCTCCCACTGAGGCAAAACTAACGGAAGAAATAGGAGAGAACCTTAGCGGGCACCTGAGGAAGTGATGTTTCAGGAAATGATGTTGAGTACAAAGGTTACTTTTAGAACTTAGAGAAGAAATCCCATGACTTCTAAATATAAAAACTTAGTAAACAAACTGAGAAAAAGGAGAATGAAGATGGTCACTGCTGAGACCTGGATTAATGTTCTAGAAGAGCAAGTGGAAAAAATGTCTTACAATTCAGAGCGGAAGCACAGGGCTGGTCACTGTGGGGGGAGGGGGAGGGGAGGAAGAGGCATCTAGGAAAACGAACATGCAGATAGCAGTTCCAGAAAGAGAAAAGGTAATAGAAGGAATTTTTCTTGAGCTGAAAAAAAAAGTATAAGTATGTAGATGATAAGGGCTTTTACCAAGTGAAGCCTGCAGTGGGATTGGTGAGGCAGGCGGGGAGCACACACCTAGATACATGCTGTTGAAATTCCGAAATTTCAGGGCACCTGGGAGGCTCAGTCAGTTGAGTGTCGTAGGTTCGAGCCCTGCACTGGGCTCTGCACTGACAATGTGGAGCCTGCTTCGGATTCTCCGTCTCCCTCTCTCTGCCCTTTCCCTGCTCGCTCGCTCGCTCTCCCTCACTGTCTCTCACGAAATAAATAACCTTTAAGAAAAGAATTCTGAAATTTAAGAGACAATCTTGCAAGCTACCAGAACAAGATACTTTCAAAAGAAAGAGAACTATACTAGTACCAGACTTCTCATCAACAATACTAAAAGCCAGAAGACTATGAAAAAAATTGTACCGGGTATTGAGAGAAAAGAATCCCCAAACCAAAAATTCTATACGTGACCAAGATATCATTTATCTGTTGAAGCAAAGGAAGTACGTTTTCAGACATGTCATGATTCAGAGAGGGGACCAAAAATAACCTGGTGAGATTGATATTCCGTTACGATACAATTATAGAAAATGTAAGAATAAATACCAACTGTTAGGAATAGAACTGTATGAGCAGCACAGTTAGGAAATCGATCCTCAGGACTCACAAGGAGTGAAAGGAGAAATGGGCAGAAATGTGAGCAAAAGGAAGGAAGGGGAGAAGCACAGACAGGACGCAGACAGCAGGCGTGGAACCCATCAGCGGACCGAAGCCCAAGACTGTGTCGGACTGGACTGGCGACTGCATCTGTGTGCTGTTTCCAAGAATAGACCTGTACCAGATAGGACCGGTTTTGGCAGCAAGTAAAAGAAAACGGAGAAATAATAGCTCCAACAAATAGGGGATTATTTTCTCACACAAAAAGCCTGAGTCTGGCAGTTGCTGGGGTTCGTTTGGGCGCCCAGGGATGCCGTCAGGGACGCAGGGCCTTTCTGTTCCTCTGTCTTTGCGTTTTTCCGCTCCACCATCCCTGGCATGTTTCCTCTCCTCCCCACGCTGGCTGGTGACCCCAAAGCCACAGGCTTCGGACGGCAAGTCCACGTAGGGAAGAGGGGAGGGAGGAGCACCACGCGGCCCCTTGATGGGAAGGCAGTGCCCTCGCAGGAACCCCAGGGGGCTTCTTCTGTCTCGGCGGCCAGGACCCGGTCACACGGCTCCCCTGCGGCAGCAAGGGAGGCCCAAAAGGGACAGACTTTAGACCGGCGCGTTCCTGCCCCCGCAGAACCAGAGCTCAGTCACGGAGGAGGAGGGACAAGCCACCGCTGAGCAGACGCGCCGGTCAGCGCGGGTCAGCTGCGCCGTGGCCACAACCCCCAGGCCCCAGGGGCTTCACGCCGGAAAGTTTCTATTTCACTCGTGCTACGTGTTGGCCCTGGAGTAGCTGTGGCGCTTGTCCGGCAGATTCGTCACGTGAGCCACCCGTGGCATCTACATTTTTCTGGCTTCATTTTTAAAATATTCCTTAAAAGATAAGAAACCTTGCTGTACATTGATGTGGAAAAATATATTAGTGGAATTTATATGATGAGATTGCACTGCAAAGCCTGCTGTGGCCCCAAATTCTGATGCGTTCCCTAGGTGAGCTTCCCTCATGCTCTCCTCCCCCAATTTAAAAATCATTGCTTTAGAGAATCGCCATTAGCAAAAGGTACCCTAGAGCTGTAGAGGATTAAAAAAAGAGAAGAATCACGGCTGTCGTAGTAAAAATTTTATTTTAAAAACAGTATTTGCCCAGGGGAAATGACAGGAGAAAATGGTGCCGTACCTGGCGTGGCTGGCTGGCGTGGCTTCCTGGCGTGGCTGGCTGTGTATTTGAGAGAGTAAAGGCCTTTAAAGGCAGTTCCCCTGGCGGCGCTGAGCTCACCCGGACTCAGTTTTCATGCACGGACTTCCTCCACTTAACCTTTGTCACAACTGCTTTTTAAAGAGTTAACTCTAAGTAATGTGTCATTTGCGTTACACTTGACTCTCCAGTCTGTGAGTCCAGACCCCACAGAAGGAACCCGTCAGAGTGGGGCAGCTGACGCCGAGAGGGCCCCCTGCCTGCTCAGGACACCCGGAGCGCAGCCCAGACACGCTGGTGTGGACGCCGATTCTCGGCCCATCTCCGCTGCTGGCTCCCCTGCCTCTGGAACTCAGCACGCCGGAGGCAGAGGGAAGGCTGTGGACAGAATGCAGCTGGCATCCAGGGTCCTGTCCGCACCCCGTGTTCACTTGGTCCTGGAGAAGTGCCCCAGCAGCAGTGGCCGGAGTGGCCGCCGTTGCCACCGTCACGGTTACAACCTGGACGTACGTGCCAGTTGCCCACAGTAGAAGGGCGTGCAGCCTCCGACCAGGGGCCGGCACCCGGGAGACCCCAGTGGCCCAGACCGTGGAGGCCTCCTCAGGGAGCGGACAGACGAAAGGGATTGCTGAGCGCTCCCTAACGTGTGCACACCCCCCACATGCTCACACACACATACGCCACACACGTGCGCGCGCACACACACGCACACACACGCGCGCAGACTTCCAGGGTAATTTACCAGCCCAAACGTCTGTCCAGAATAGCGCCTTTGCTCCTCGCCTGGGCTTTGCCAAGCCCTGCAGGCGTTTGTTATTGCTGTGCCATCCCTCACTGATGTGCCCTTCTGGTCTGCGGGTTGCGGCTAGTGCGGCGGCTCTCACTTGGAGAGGAATTTGCCCCCTAGAGAAATTTGACGGTGTCTGGAGACATTTTCGACTCACTACGGGGAACGCTACCGGCACTCGGTGGGTAGGGGCCTGGGTGCTGTCGAACGTCTCACCTGCTCAGGACAGTCGTCACGGCACAGAGTTACCAGGCTCAGAATGTCCGTAGCTCCGGGGCTGGGAGACTCTCGTCTGTGCTCACCCATCGGGCTTGTGAGCTGCTGGTTAAGCCACCCCTGGGTAATGTTGCTTAAGAGCATCTGAAACGAACTTCTGTGCAGAAGTTCTGGAAAACGGATCGGATTGGCTGGCACCTCTGTGTTGGAGAGCAGCACAGTTGTGCCGTGACTAAAGCCGAAGGCAGTGCAGGGTCCCCAAGACCAGCCCCAAGTGCCCTGAACAAAGAGCCATCACGACGCTCTTGAGGGGAAAGAGCAGTGGCCGTTACGCTGCAGACGTGGTACCGAGGGCTGCAGACAGTCGAGAAGGTGATAACTGGCGTGTCGTCAGAGCAGGGCTCGGAGAGGTGCCAGCCACCTGCCACCCTCGGCGGTCAGGTTCGGCCCCTTCCCGTGAGACCCTGGTCACCAGTGGCCCCCTGGGTAAAGAGGGGTCACTCTTACAAGTGGCCCCATGCGGCAGGCCGGGAAACGGTGCATCTCATCAGGACTGTGACGGCGCTACGGCGCTCCTCACGGCCTCCCGTCTGCAAAAGGAGAAACAAACTGGAAATGCCCACTGGAGATCATGGAGAAGTGTTCCTTTTTTAGCATTTCTTAAAGATGCTAAAATGAAACGTTTCAGAGCGCCTGGGTGGCTCAGTCGGTTAAGCATCTGACTCTTGATTTCTGCTCAGGTCACGATCTCACGGGTTCATGAGTTCAAGCCCCGTGTCGCACTGGCAGTGCGGAGCCTGCTAAGGATTCTCTCTCTCAAAATAAATAAATAAACTTAAAAAAGTGAAAAGGAAATGAAATGTTTCCATCAACCGGGTTTGGAATGGCTGGCATTCCAGGGCTGAGAAATGGGTGAGGCCCCACTTTGGGGCCTGAATTTTCTTAACACCCCCCAGTGAATACAGGCTCTGCTGCCCCTAAAGAGATGCTGCCTCCACACCTGTGTGTGCCTTCTCCCCTCTGTCCAGTCCGCCTCTAGAAGAAAACCAGGAGTGACCAAGGGGTTCCTTGTAATATGATAAACTAGTCTTTATTTCTCTACATATTGTATTGACTTAAGGCTTAGCCATTTTAGGGAATAACATACTTTAAAAAAGAAATAAGCGAGTTACTAGAGGGATCAATGGATCAAAGTAATATATGGGCTTTTGTTTTTATTTTTCAATTAAGGATTAAATTCCTGCGAGTAAGGGAGTCACCACTGTTTTAAACTTGTTAATGTTTATTTCTGAGAGAGAGAAAGAGAGGCAGAGCACGAGTGAGGGAGGGGCAGAGAGAGAGGGAGACACAGAATCTGAAGCAGCTCCAGGCTCCGAGCTGTCAGCACAGAGCTCAGTCTGGGGCTCAACTTCACAGACCACGAGATCGTGACCTGAGCTGAAGTCAGACGCTTAACTGACGGAGCCACCCAGGGGCCCCCTGTGGAGGCACCATTTAAATAAGCAAGATTAGGGGCGCCCGGGTGGCTCAGTCATTTGAGCATCTGACTTCGGTCCAGGTCATGATCTCACACTTCATGGGCTCGAGCCCCGCGTTGGGCTCTGTGCTGACAGCTCGGTGTCTGGAGCCTGTTTCAGATTCTGTGTCTCCCTCTCTCTCTCTTTCTGCCTCTCCCCTGCTTGTGCGCTCTCACTCACTCTCTCTCTCTCTTGTTCTCTCTCTCTGTCTCTCTCTCAAAAATAAACAAACATTAAGAAAAAAATTTAAATTAGCAAGATTAATGACCCTCAGGAACCCAGCCTGGTGTGTGAGGGGTGGGGGTGTCTGGACGGCAGAGTGGACCCAGGGCCCTAGCTGGAAAATCCGTGGGTCCCTCCTGCTCATTGAACAGCACCAGGGTACAGAGCACGGGAGGTCCTAGGGTTGCCGTACTCGAGAGCGCTTGGAGGTTTCTTCTGACATGATCTGCTTACTTCTCTTCAAACCTGACAGTGATTTCTTTTTTCTTTTTCCTTAGGGTGACCAGAGGCAGGCCATTCCCATACCAAGTGTATGTATACTTATCCAATTTTATTTAAACACTTGTAGAATCTTGTAGCTTCGGGCCTACTAACATAAAAGATTTTTTAATGTTCTTGCCTATGTTGCGTCTCAGCATGTGGTACAAACAGCTGTGTTCTGTTGGGAAGTACAGGGTTTCTCGGGGCAGCAGGACAGCCAGCATCGAGGAACCAAAGTCTCACCTTTCCTGTCTTTCCGCGAAGGGCCTCCACGCTCAGGCAGCCTGCTCTGCTGCCGCCCCAGCGCCTCAGCGCAGCTCCGTAGCCTGGAGAACAAACCCGTGCCCAGGTGTGGGGTCTGCAGGCGGCTTGTCCCGGGGCCCCAGGCCCGGGCCCCGGCTGAGCAGGCCATCTCCCACTCCTCCGGCAGCGTCGCTAGCTTGGCCTTGGCTCTGAGAGCAGAAAAAACTGGCCCCAGCTGTGCTCCCCGAATGTGCAGCTGCGCTGGCTGCGTGCTCCGGGGGCCCCCGGGCCCCCCCCCCAGCCTCGGAATCCGGGCGAGTGGCTACACCAGTGTAGCCACCCCTCAGACGTCCGCTGTCCCCACTGGGCCGGCTCTGACAGCAGAGCCGCTTGCCCGAGGCCAGCGGCCAGAGACGGGCCTGTGACTGACTGTCCGGAGACCCTGGATTTGACCTGTCCCCGCCACACAGGGCCTTCCAAACAGTGCTGTGTCCTGACAGAAGGACTCAGATTTTAAAAGGTGTCCACAGATTGATACTTGAATCCATAAAGAGCCTCTGACTGAGATGGTCTGATTCAAATCTGCTCATCTAACTGTCCTTGGGCTCTTTTTCTGGATGCATCCAAGAGACACAGCAACGTCACACTGAGAAGAACGGATCTCATTAGCACAGGCTGACTCCAGATTTGCTGATGAGCGTCGCCTATAAACTAACCAACTGTCCCCTCGTTTTTTGATAATTGCATTTTTCTCAGGACTTTACCTCTCCGTTGATGAACACATGCAAGGGTTTGTGGGGTGGATCTGACTCGACCAGCACGCCTGGAGTTGGGCTTTGTCAGGAAACCCGACCTTAATCAGAAAGGCTGACCAGGCAGCAGACGGCCAGCCCGGGTGTGGGGAGGGCGCCCAGCAGGACGACACACAGGCCTCCTCTTCCCCTTTTTACAAAGTCACGTCATAGACGCCTGCAGGGGACAGATGCCAGCTCTCCCCCCACCTGGGATGCGCCCACAGCCCTGGTTTTCCGCAGTTCATTCAGTGCCAAAGCCAAGCATTTGTCGGGGGAAAACTCAACGGGGAAGATGACCCCCTCCCCACAAATCTCAACACATTCTAGAATCTCGCAATGAAGTAGCCAGCGGGGAAAGGATCCCTTATGTGATTTAGTGCCGTGTTCGATCAATACCTGCCGACTCCTTCGTACCAGTGAGGCCCCAGGTCAGGCCTCCTGAATCTCTGAAACACCTTGCCGGAAAACAGCCTGGCTAAAGTAAGTGCGTCGAGTGACCGCCTCCAGACAGGAGCCTGCCCGTGGGCTCAGCGTGACCACTGCCCGCTTAGCGTGCACGGCTGAACCCAAGTCCGTCGGGAGCCCAGCTCCCCCTGGATTGGAGACTTGGGATCCCCCGCAGAGTCTGAGCCACGTAGACGGAGCAGCCCCGCCCTTCCTGGATCCCAGGGGACCTGGTGGGTGCTGGGAGCCCCGGCGAGGGTGGGGCGCTGCACCGGGGGCCAGCGGTCCAGGCTTCGCTCCTCCCACACCGGGGCCTCGGCCTCTGGAAACGTCCCCAGGCCCTGAGGGGGAAGCGACCCCCGAGCCGGGTGCCCAGGGAGGCGCGGCCGGAGCCGGCCATCGCTGCTTCCCGCCGTGCCCCCGCGTCTCCTTTTCATGCTACTGTGTGTGTGCAGCTCTGGTCTTTCGATTTTTTACTAAGCAGTACTTCCAGCTCGTAGTTTTAAAAAATGCTGAAAGGATAAAGTGGAAAGAAGAAAAAATCTCCCAACATACTCCACTCCCTGGAATCGCCCCTTTTAATATTTGTCATGTAACCTTCCAACATCACCATATTCACACAAATGAGAATTTTGCAAGGTATTTTCTGCCTTAAGTAATATATTTTGAACACATTTCTGAGTATCAATGCGTAGTGATCTGCGTCATGGTTTTACATGCCCTTGATGGCATTTCCTATGTTTCTACTTCTCGACTCTTACAAATACTTCTCTTAGGAATGTCCTTGTGCATGTGTGTGCATGGACTTGACCTAGGGTATCTGTTGTGATCGCTTCCTAATTGTGGAAATGCTAGATCAAAGGGTATAACTTACATTTTGGGTAGATGAAAGCCACGTGGCCCTCCGAGAGCGTCATCTGCATCCCCACCAGGAGTGTGTGGGACTGCCCCTTCTCTCAGCAGAAACGATTGTCAGATATTTAAGTTTTGCTGGTCTGTAGGCAAAGAATAGCATATCAGTTCATTGCTTTGGTTTGCATTTCTTTATGAATGAGTATGAACATCTTTTCACAAGCTTATTGTCCGTATGTCTTTCTGCTTCCCTATACGTTTCTTTTAGAGTTTATACTGTTATCTTTTTAATTTCAAGGGAATTCGGACTTTCCCCCCAATTTATGGTGTATGTTTTGGCCTTGTTTATAATCATTTTGACCACAAAGAAGTATAATTTTATGTAGGCACATGTATTGATCTTATCCCTTATGGCTCCTGAATTTTTATGTCATACTTAGAAAGTTCCCCCACATTATGACTGTGACCCATATTTTCCCTAGTGTTTTAGTGCTTTTATCTCTACCCTTACATGTGTGGTCTATCTGGACTTCAGGTCGGTGTAAGGCATTAAGTAGTGATCAGCTTTATTGCCTGTTCTGAGGGGCAGGTCCCGTGTCGCAACACCACTTACTGATTAATCCATCTTTCGTACACCCGCTGAAAGTGGCATCTTCATCCGGACTTGGTGTGAAGCATCCCACTCAGTAGCCTTAGTCGCCCCGCCGCAGGCTGGGCGTAGGGGCCCTGCACACATCTTACTGGGAGCCTCGTGGGCGATCCAGTAAAGGCAGGCATTGAAGGGCAAGGAAGGGAAGCAGAGGGATGGGTCTAGAGCCCCCTGGAGCGTGGGTGGCCTTGGCTGCAGGTGAGGGTTCAGATGCTCTGGCCCCAGCGGGGAGTGCGGAACGTGACTGGGGCTGTGACCGTCTCCTCCCCTTTCTGCTCTTGGAGGAGCCCCACTGCCGCTTGATGCTCACAGTGCGAGGCTGACAGTCCAGCTGGGCCAGAGCCATGCAGACAGGGGAGTGAGAGGAGAGTGAGTTTTCTAGCAGTTACGTTTCTGGGCTGCGTGCCTAAGCCTTTTAATCAACAATAGTATACTTTTTTCCCACCCAGCCTTACGAAGAGCCTATCAGCAGAAGGATCGTAGGTGAAAATGGCCTCCCTCCCCTCGGGGACAAGCACAGTGTGCAGACCCTGAGCCCGAGGACGCTCATGTACAGAAACCCCGTCTCATGTGCCAAGAAGAGCGTGTTCCACCTGTAGGGTCTATGAGGGCAGGCGGGGTGGGTGCTCTGGGAACCGGAGGGTTAGCCACCCAGGGCTGCCAGTTCACCACCATGGCTGGAAAATTCCAGATCTTCTCCCAGGAAGAGAACCGGAATGCGTGCCCTTCCCGAACCCTGGGTGGCAAGCTGAGGTCCCTCCCCTCGCCCCCCCCCCCCCCCCCCCCCCCCCGTGTGCTTGGGAGCAAGAGATTTGTATGAAAAGGCTCTTCCTGATATAACTGGTGTTTCTCTGGTTCTCCAGTTTTGGATGCCCTGAGAGAAGGATTTGCCTCAGGACATATTTAGTTAATAATTCAAGCATCACCTGAACGATCAGTTGAAGTAACAAAGCACTATCGCAGTTAATAGCGTCCTTGCCGGTTCCGAGGACACGGCTGTCCAGGAGAATTCCCGCCGGGGCCTGAGGAATTTGCATTAATCTAAAGCGAAGCCCTCGGAGAAGCTGTGTGTGTTTAGGAAGCGGGGCTGAGGATGAATGGACCCTCCTCGCCCGTGGCCCCAGCCTTGTTCTCTGCAGCACAAGTGCTCAGTCAGTCGCCTGCTTCCGAGGAGTCGCACCCTGCACCCTCTCCTCTCTCTCGCAGAGAACCTGGGGCCTGTTCTGTACTGTGAGCTCAGAGAGTGCTTGCAAAGTGTGGGTTAAATATGCTCAGAAAGTAATTTTTATTCTCAGGTTCGGAAAATAACTGAGACACTTTTGGCAGATCTTTGATGTGTTCAGATCTGCTAGGGATAGAATTTCTACAGCCTTATTTTCCAGGCTAGCAATTACGTAAAGTTTAAATGTTGTTTTAGTATATAACTGCATAGAGACTGGGCAGACACGCACCGAACTGAAAAGGGGAGCCCCTGGGGAGAGGAATGGGGAGCAGGGAGAAGGGAATAGTTCTCTTGCGTGTCTGCATTCTTTTCAACGAGAAGGTGTTTTTATTACATTATTATGTAATAAGAAATTAAATTTTATTCTAGTCGCAAGCATGCTCTCTGCTGTGGCCCAAACAACAGAAATAGCTCAAATCCTCTTTATTATGCCCCCTTCCTGAGCTCACCATACTCTGCCTTTTTAAAACACTGAATATAAAACTTCTCGCGAGTTTATTTTAATGTTTCTAGCACCTGCTTGCTTGCTGATTTATAGTGAAAGACAGAATCCTATCTAGGACCCTGAATCCCCTGCCTCGTGTCCAAGGCACATCACCTCCCCGTGCGACTGGCAGTTCTGGGTGAGGGTTACTGCCTGGTGACCTTTCATTAGAGCCAAGGGAGTTAGGAGGACATGGAGGCTTTTTCTTCTGGATGCGGTTGGACAGGAGGAGAGTCCCTGTACGTTAGACTCCCCACATGCAGCCTCATCCCCTCAGCTGCACGAGACGATCTTCGCACTTGCAGGTTTACCTGCCTGGTTGACTCCCTGACTCCGGGCCTTACGTTCCCTCCCGAACCAGCCACGGTCCAGAATTAACTCTGGATCCTTGACTAATATTCACTTTAACCTCCCTCCTCCCCTTCTCCAAAGCTAGGAGATAATCCATCTAAAAGGGAATACTTCTTGATTTCATTTTTTTCTTTTGTTTTGTTTTTTCATTTTGGGGTTTGTCTGTCTTGATAAGCTACACTTTCTGCTCTTCAGTGACAAGGGACACAGTTTTTCGTGTGTGTTTTGTTTTGCATTAAATATTGAACAGAGTTTGACCTTCTTCCAGGACAGAAAATTAGCTAGTTGACGTTGGATACAGAATATGCCACAAAGTGAACTAAAGTGCTTCCAGTGCCTTCTAGAATGAGGCAAAGAAAGAAAACTGTAAATCAAGAATGAGGTTGGCTGCAGATCTCCAACAGCTTATTAACTCTTTACCACCTCTTTACACAAGACTGGAGTCAGAAGCAGGCGTTCTGATTAACACACAGCTTGTAGATTTAAGTCTAACCTCCAGAGGCTAAGAATCCAGGCTGTTTGCTCAGTGGGTGGGCACCAGACAGGGCCCTGTACTGGACCACTTCTGTTTCCGCCTCCTATTACTAGAAGTCCATTTGGATTGCACTTTGCTGGTGGGTCTGTATTGACTCTTCAACACTCTGAAGACTATAGTCATGAAAGCAAACAGGCAAAACACCACCAGTTCCAGTATAAGTCTAAAATGTACTTATGTACCACGGTGAATTTCAGGCCGAAATGCCCCCCAGGAAACGGGCCTGCATAGTTAGAATAGCTGATGTAATTGAACCTTTATTTTTGTGCAGCCCGTTCTAGTAATCCCTGTAGTCACCATGTCTATGCCAGGCAGACAGTGGGCGTTTTCCACGGTCACAGCGGAGAGCGCAGCCTTCCATCGTAGGTGTTCCCGTCCCTGGCTTCTCTGGCCCCGTGGCCCAGGCCTCCAGGAGCCGTTCAGACAGCGGCACAGTATGTATCAGAACTTCCACTGCGAACTACTTAGTCCTACTGCTTTTGATAAAATTCCATGACGAGCTTAGTCGGGCATTTACACGTTTGATCTCGTTTCTAACCTCACTGACTGTATGATACGGCCATAAGGGGATTGGTTGGTGTGTCTTCTACGTAAAGGTAATAATACTGTTTTGTTTTGTTTTTCGTTTTAGCCACCCGCTAAATACCTCCTTCCAGAGGTGACGGTGCTTGACTATGGAAAGAAATGTGTGGTCATTGATCTAGATGAAACCTTGGTGCACAGTTCATTTAAGGTAAATCGACGTAAAAAGCACACCGCAGTCTTTGTGATCCGGTCACAGCTGTATGAGAAAAGGGACAATAGAAAAGATGGCATTTGGTGGCGTTGGTGTATGACGCCACTGTTGGTGATGAAATCCGGCAACTCCGGGGAACATCCCTCAGGTAGTTAAACATCACACACCTAGTTTGGGGGAAATGCTTTGCCGCCAGCGTCTGAGACGCGTTCATAGGAGCTTTGAGTTGTCCAGCGCTCCAGCCCCTGCACAAGCACTTCTCGGGGGCGAAAGGCCGTCCGTGCACCCGGGGCCCGACCTTGTTCGTCAGGGTGTAGAGTGTGTGTGTGTTATGGGAAGGGGCGGGGGGGCACCGCTGAAACTCAAGCCGACCTGCTACCTTGGACGTGTTCCAGACCCGCTTCTGAAAGGCGTCCCAGTCTGAAGGCCTCCAGAGGCGGCATCTGAGCAGGTCCGGCCATTTATTTTGAGCTTTTTCATGACAGGAGGCGGCTGGGGTTTTGGTTTTGTTTCTTACAAGCTGCATCCACCTGCATGACTTCCCTCCCGAAGCGGGCGGGGCTGCAGCGATGTGTCCAGGAGCATCAGACAGTCTCCCTCCACCCCTCCCTGCCAGAACGACAACCAAAGTTACGAATTGCCAAAGGGCTTCTGTGGAGGAATGGCTGTGGCTACGCGACTAAGAAATGACTTCATGAACCATCTTTCCCCTTTTTGAAATGAAACAGGTTTTTTAAAAGAGGCAAATGATGGGGCGCCTGGGCGGTTCAGTCAGCTCTGCGTCCGACTTCGGCTCAGGTCATCATCTCACGGCTTCTGGGTTCGAGCCCCGCGTCGGGCTCTGTGCTGACGTCTCAGAGCCTGGAGCTGCTTCAGATTCTGTGTCTCCCTCTCTCTCTGCCCCTCCTCGTACTCTGTCACTCTTCTCTCTCTCTCCCTCAAAAATAAATATTTAAAAAATTTTTTTAAAAAGGAGGCAAATGGCGAGGGGCGCCTGGGTGGCTCAGTCAGTTACATGTACGACTCTTGGTCTCAGTTCATGTCTTGATCTCAGGGTTGTGAGTTCGGGCCCAGCGTAAAGCCCACTTGATAGATAGATAGATAGATGATAGATAGATCGATCGATCGATCGATCGGTCCTGAGCCTATGAGGCAGATGATGAAGAGGTTTAGAAATAGGGGATCTGTGTGTTGGAGGGAAGAAGTAGGGTCCGGGTCCTCTTTTTCTCGGGGTATTTCTGGACATGAGCTGCTCCACTGTCACCGGCCAGTTAGGTCCCATTCCTCCCTGTACCCGGAGCCCATGACACCCCTTGCTTTGCTGAGAGACACGAAGGCGCCGTCCATGATGGGGTGTGTCTCCCACAGGAACCAGTCACTCCTGGACTGTTGCACGGGAGTGGAAGAGCGTCAGACTCACCGGAAGGACTTTCTGTCAGAAACGTCCCTCCTTCTCACAGACAGAAGCCTCTCTTGCTAGGACAAGACCAGGCAGTTGTCCGCCGGTCCTTCGGGAGAGTGGGGTCCAGCGGTGAGAAACGGCCTCGCTGGGGCCTGGAGGTGCCGCCACAGACGCCAGCACCCCGAGGGCCCTCCCGGGATTGGTCCCCTGGCCGCCATGACCGACGTCCCAGCGCAGCCCTGAGCAGCCCTGGAAGCCTCTTCTCCCCTGTGGGCAGGTTGCTCAGGACTTTTCAAGTCCCTCTGGAGGAAAGCCCTTTGGAGCAGGGCTTCTTTCCCATTTCAGCCTAGAAGCTTCCTCCCGGGCTCTGGGAGTGTGGGCAGTGCTGGCCAGGCTGCCCGAGGTCATGGAGGGCTCCCGACTCCGAAGGCAGGGCCTGACAGCCCCAGAGGTCCCCGAGGCCCCTGGTCCGAGAGCGTTCCACACAGGCCGATGTGAACAGCACCGCTTCCTGTCTTCCCTCCCCGGCTCGCTGTGTTTGCAACTAGAATATCCTTCATTATATGTGTTTTTATTCAGATAGACTTAACGTACACGATTGCATTAGTTTCACGTACACAACACAGTGATTCAACAATTCTGTACATTTCTCAGTGCTCATCAGGATCATGTACTCTTTTTTTTAATCACAAAATGTTTTACTTGTCACCATTAAATGTCTGAATTTTAAACAGATTCTTGCGCTGGTGGCTCTTACCCATCAGTTCATTCAGCGTTAGCACCAGACTCATCCCCAGTCATGCTTTGAGAACTGCCACCTTCACCTGAAGGTCCGCGAGCTTCCCAGCCCAAACGTGGGCTTCTTCAGCATTTGCACTTTACTTTTTTTTTTTTTAAATATTTTTATTTATTTCTAGGAGAGAGAGAGAGAGAGAGAGACAGCGTGAGCAGGGGAGGGGCAGAGAGAGAGGGAGTCACAGACTGAAACAGGCTCCAGGCTCCGAGCTGGCAGTCAGCACAGAGCCCGACGCGGGGCTCGAACCCACGAACCGCGAGACCATGACCCAAGCGATAGTCGGACGCTTAACCAACTAAGCCACCCAGGCGCCCCGCATTTGCACTTTTGTAACAAAGACATGGAGCAGGTGAGCAGGCCGACACACCTTTCCCCTGTCTCTTCTGATGCTCTCTGGGATCAATTTATTGATCACTTCTCTCAAGCCATTTGCACCTCTCGGGTCATGATTTCCATCACCTTCCTCTGAACTTGGTGGACCTGTTGGTGCTGAGTGTAAGAGGTCTTTCGAGTCTGAGAGTTGCTTTATTTTATTTATTTATTTTTTTAATAGCAAAACCAGCACAAGGTAGACAAAGCGAGTGACCTTTGGTAGTCTTGACACCATCGTGACATCAGTCATGGTCTCTGCCATTTTCTGACCCTGGGGCACACTTGTGTCCCAGGAAAGATCCATGCCTTAGAAGCAAGTCTGGCAGGTTTTGCCCTGAACATCCTCAGTAATGGGCTGGCGTTTTCTACACGCAGCTCCATCACTGTGCAGATCAGCAGGGCTCCCGTCAGAAACGCGACGCTTGAGGCCATCGGATGCAGTTCTGCTTCCTGGAGCTCTCGTGGCTACAGCTTTTCCAGTATTTCTTATATTAAACATAGCTGGTGCTTTCACATCGTACCATCTTCCTTAGAAATTGGATCAACCACTTTCTTGGCCCCCCTTTAGCCGCCTTTCGTAAGGTGCCCGTTCTTGCCAACCGCCACGGCGCTGCTCCGGGAGCCAAAGCCAGATATGTGTGCTCTTAATCCCCTGTGTCTACCGCACCCATCCGTCCACCCACCTTCCCTCTGGCAACTGCCTTTACTGGACGGTTTTTAATGTTCTGGGCATTTCAGAGGCCTTTGAGAATCTGGAAGCCATGAACCTCTCTGCTTGAGAATGTACAGCTGTGTAACACAGGCTCTTCCACCCAGGTTAAGAACCACGGCTCGGCATGGCCTCCTTTACACAGCACGTAAGAAGAAACTTGAGGCTCGGGCTTGCTCTGAGCCAGGGAAAGGTTTTTCTCTTTTACTCTGCTCTATGGAATATGATTTCACAGTCTAGTGACGCCTTGTCCGAGTTTCTTCCTTCGTGATTTTGTGTTTAGTTGTGGAATTATAAAATACTGAATTCGTCCTTGGCCTTCCAGCCACGGGAGCAAACAAACCTAAGCCTAAGCTTCAGGTGCGCTACTGAGCACGTACGAATGGCTCTGTGATCTGTTGTTTCCTGCGTATTTTCTGGTCACTCAGCAAAGAACAGTGCATGTGGGCACAGCAATGGGCTCAATAAAAGCAGACTCCAGTTCAGATTCTGACCAGAGACTCTGCCCTGCGCACCCCTCCCCGCACCGCTGCCCAGTAGCCGCCACGCACGCGCTCTCTTCCTTCCGTCTCCCTCCTATCTCGTCCCAGGGCCTTGTGTTCTGATCCTGTTGGGCCCGTTCATTGGAGCAGTGTGGTTTGTGGATTCCACGTAGAACCGTATGTTTAGCCCAGCAGTGACTTCCACAAGGACCGCCGGAATACTCTATTTGGGTTTTATGTATCATTAATATTGTAAAGAGTTATTTTAAATACGCTGAAGTTTGTGGGTGTGCGGGGCACCGTGTTGCTCCCCACCGCCCAGGGCGGGAGACGGTGCCGGGCCAGGCTGAGATCACTGCTGCGCGGGGCCAGATGGAGCCGCGGGCACCCGTCAGGCCCGTTGCTATAGCTGGGGATGGAGGAGACAGGAAGGTGCAGAGGGAAAGGAGACAAGGCCGCGGCCGTGGCCTCGGACTTCACCTCCCGCCCGTGGCCCTGCTTCGTGTCCATGTGCTCAGCATCCCCTGCCCCGCGGAGGGCAGCCTGTTATCTGCGGGTCCAATACAAATCCATTTCCCCCAAGTAGCAAGGCGCTCTGGGACCCCTGGGCTCTCACCTCCTCCCCCTGGTGGCCAGCACGGGTTCTGCACCATCTGGCAGGGCTCTAGGCAAGAGTGGGCGTTTCTGAGCAGCCCCTCCGCCCAGGCTGCCCTACCTTTGTGTCTAGGCCACAGAGATAATAGGGACGTTGGATCAATATGCTGAAAGCGTAACAATGTTCAACGCAGAAAAAAACTGCTTTCCTGCTTGTGCTTATTTTATGGAATCAAAGCATAATTCAACATCCTTCGCCTAAACTATTTCTTCCAGGGGCGCCTGGGTGGCCCAGTTGGTTAAGCGTCCAGCTTCCACTCACATCATGACCTCATGGGGTCGTGGGTTCAAGCCCCACGTTGGGCTCTGTGCTGACAGCTCAGGGCCTGGAGCTGCTTCCGATTCTGTCTCCCCCTCTCTCTGCCCCTCCCCTGCTCATGTTCTGTCTCTCCGTCTCCTTCTCCCTCTCTCTCTCTCTCTCAAAAGTAAAAGTAAATAAACAATAAAGAATATATTTAACTGTTTTTTCCAATACTAAAAGCATTGGTCCAAGAATGAATACTCTTACTAAAGTTTCCAACTTTATTTTGTTCTTTCAGGAATATTAATTATAATTTCTTTTCTCTCCAGCCCATTAGTAATGCCGATTTTATTGTTCCGGTTGAAATCGATGGAACTATACATCAGGTAAGAAATCAAAGCTAAATCTGAGTTGTAATTCGCATTTTTTGTAGTTACATTTCCTATGAACTTAATTCTAAATTCCCATTTCATCAGTAATTTTATTACTGAATCAAAAGGGAGCAGGCTTCGTAAAATAAACACAGTGGTTTTCTGCTTTTTCCCACTCAGATGAATTTATTTTATATTGAGCTTATAAGGGAAACTGTAATCTGTTTATAGATATTAGATGTGGTTGCAAGTTTGAATAGTTCTTTGATTTGATTCAGACTTTTCCGGAGTCCCCACTGGCCTAGCTTGATGGCCTAATTAACTTCCTCGTGTAATTGCTCTCGGCTCCTCACCTAACAGGCAAGAGGAAAATGCCACACGTAGCCACGTACGGTGGGATCTTGGGAAGAGGTGTCCATTTCCAATGCCCACCCCTCCAGCCCGAGCTGGCCACTCCCACGTCATGTTCTCCAGTGGGTCTGTAGCAAAACCCCAACCGAAAGAATGTGTGTTTTTGGATCAGGAGACAGCTTTGAATAAAGATGCCCTAGTTAGTTGGCACACATCTTTGTTCTGATGTTTCTTCCTTATCTGCATGAAGCTTCTCCAGGAATAGCTTCATTTATGAACATATCGAACACTGTGGGGAAACTGGCCTGGAGGCTGAGTAGGGGCGGCTTGTAAGGTTCTCCACAGGGACGGGATGACCATCTTCTTGTCACCCCAGGGGCTTAAAGGGAGGTCCTGGGCCTCTTTGTGTTTGTCTCCCAGGAAGGAAAGTCTCTCTTGGTGCTCGAGCCATCGCAAGATGTCTTTCTGTAACACCAATGGGCTCTTGGGCCCTGGAGTACAGGGGGTCAGAGTCGGGGATGTCTTAGAAATCAGCTGGTCCAGCCACCTCATTGTCCAGATGGGGAAACCAAGGCTCAGCCAGAGAAAGGGTTGGTTCAAGGTCATATGATGGGAAGAAGTAAAATGAGACTTCCGGTCTTTTGCCTCCGGCCACGGCATCCCGCTGCTCTGCGCCCCCCCCCCCTCCAGGGAGGTCTTGGAAAGGCGGCTTTATTGCTAGTGGCTCCACACATCATGCTTTTAAAAGCCAGCAGGGAGCCAGAAGACAGGGACTTGGGCATTTAACATTTGCAAAAGCATCAACTGAATTAACTCAGCATCTGAGAAGCAGTTAGGCTTCGTTTGTTTTCCTGGCTTCTGCTACAAAGTAATGAGACAAAGGAGAGGCTGCCCACGGGCAAGAGAAATTAGTCCTTCTTACCTTGCTGCTAAGAGCGTGACCCTCGGAGCCTGACCGGCTGTGGCCAGCCCCAGCTCCCCCAGCCTCCCTCCGGGCTGTCCTGTGAGACCTATGGCGATAGATACCCTGGGGTCCCGGGGGTGGGCTCAGAAACTCTCTCTCCTGAGGGAATGAAGCCACAGGCGTCAAGAGGAGGACCGAGGCCCTGGCGAAGGCCGTGGCCTCGTTCAAGTAATCCAGGATAGGCTGTGCAGGTCCCGATGGGCCTATTCTTGGTTACTTGCACGCGGACGCGGGCCTGGACGCCGGCATCCGGGCCCAGGACCTTCCTCTCTGCCAGAGGCACCAACACCAGAGTTCCCAAATCCGTCTCCTGCCCTTTGTGTGTAGCAAAGCTTGCTTTCCAAGCAGGATTCCCAAGGAGACAGGACCACAGGCCGTCCCCGTTCCCTGGCACCCAGGAGGCTCGTGGGCAAAGTGGGGGCCTGGAGCTCCAGCAGCCTCAGGCCCTTCCCAGCCCCTCGCAGCCCTGGGGGCGCCCCCGCCAGGCTTCTGGCCCCGCATCCACCCTTGGCCACGGGCCGTGCTTACCCCACGCTTTCAGGTGCCACAGGTTTCCCGCCAAGTCCTGGCTCTGTGCAGACCCTTCCGCCGGGCACGCATCCTGGGTGTGGTCCAGAGCCCCGTGCGCCCTCCGTGACTCCGAGGGATGGACAGCTGGCCGCCCCTGCCCTTCACGGCCTCACGCGGCCTCCCCTGACCTTGCACACTTCCTCTTTGGCCACTTCTTCTCCCACCCCCACCCCACCCCCCCATCTCTAAAGGGCTGGTCACGAAGGGCTCTGGCCGCGCTCTGACGCCCGGGTGTTTTCGGGCCGAGTCTCATGCTCCTACCGTTTCCTCTGCCTGGAAGCTTCCTTCTCATCCTTCTCAGCCTGGTGAGCTGTCATCCTGCAAAGCCCAGGTCCCCTCCCCTCCAGCGGGGAGTTCACTGTCCTTCGTTTATGTCTCCACCACAACTTCGACTGGCAAGCCCGTTTTCATCGGCTTTTGTCTGTATCTGCTCTAGACTGTGAGCTCTTCAAGGGCAAGCCCTGTGTTGTGTTCCTGTTTGTAACTTCAGGCTGAGCACAGATCGGGGCGCAGTGAATAGGAGCTGAATCGAAGTTTAATAAGTTTGATTTGTTTTGGGGAAGTGGCCAATTTCACGCGCATTTATTCCAGTTGTATTAGCTCTGCCCCCTCCCACCGCCCTGTCCTGTGGGCAGCTCGGCCGCCCCCAGCTCCCGGGCCTCGGGCGTGTTCAGGGTCCCCAGGCGGGAGCACAGAGCGGCTCAGGACAGCCTCTTCTTGGCCCCCCCTGCCCGGGCGCCCCTCCCGACGGCGGCCTCACGCCCCCTGAGATCTGTGCGCCGGGCTCAAGCAGAGTCACCTGCTGGTGTCCAGCCCGGCACCCCGGGCCCTCCCGGCAGGAGGGGTGTCCCGGGCAACGGCTGGGGTGGCCGCTGGTCCCCGGGCTGCGGCACCACGGGTCAGGCCCGGGCCGGCCCCCAGGCCGTAGCGGTGTCCACGCAGGGCCTGACCCACAGGCCAGCCGAGAAGCTCGTGTGAGTCGCCTCGCACAAACCCGCACAGCCCTCCTGCCTGCTGGTCCCCGAGGCCCCCGAGGCGCCCAGTCAGCCTCCCTTCCCTCTCCGGAGCCCCCGCCGAGGAGTGCGTGTGGCCTACCGCGCCGCCCGGGGGTGCGCAGCTCCTCCGGTGGGGGCGGGGCGGGGTGCACAGTGCTCGCAGGCCGGGGACGGGGAGCAGCTCCTCCGGTGGCGTGGGGGGGGGGGCTGCGCAGCTCCCCGGGGGGGGGGGCGGGGAGGGGGTGCGCAGCTCCTCCAGTCCGGTCGCGGCTGGGTCCGCAGCTCCTGGGGGGGGGGGCGGGGAGCAGCTCCTCCGGTGGCGGGGGGCGGGGTGCGCAGCGCTCGCAGGGCGGGGACCGGGAGCCCCTCCGGCCGCGGGAGCCCCTCCCGGGGGCGTGCGGGCCCAGGCCGCCCCCCGCCGCGCCTGACGCGCCTGCCGTTTGCTGCCGTTGCAGGTGTACGTGCTGAAGCGGCCCCACGTGGACGAGTTCCTCCAGCGGATGGGGCAGCTGTTCGAGTGCGTGCTCTTCACCGCCAGCCTGGCCAAGGTGCGTGCTGCCCCCGCTGGGCGCCCCCGCCCTGTCAGGCGGCCTCGGCCCAGGTGGGGAGGGGTGGCCGTGGTGACGCGCGCCCCGGGGGGGGGGGATGCACGCCGGCCACGTGCCGGCGCGGGTTTCCATGGTGACGGGGAGCCTCCTGGCGAGGTTGCTGGGTGTCCACACCGGGACCTCAGCGGTGTCCGGGGCGACGGGGAAGGGCGTCTGCCGCCCACAGCCTGCGCGTCCCTCCCTCGCCTGCGCGGGCTCGTGCCCGGGAGTCCCCCCGCCCGGCCGGAGGAGGCTTCTGCCTGCCCCCCTGAGCCCTGTGGTCTCGGACAGGTGACCTCACGTCTCCTGGCGCCGTGTCTTCTAGAAACAGGGACGACCCCCTACTCCCGGGGCGGATCCCACGAAGCAGGACTTGTGAGGGGCAGAGCAAACGGCGGGGGGGGGCACCTGCTGTGCTGCGCTCGGCCCGCGGGCACGGCCTCAGGGCCAGGGCTCCCGGTGCTCCGCGTTTAAATACCGGCATTAATGACGACAAAATAACACCCCTTGTGGCCTTGGAGCTTGGTGTGAGTCTTTGACCCAGCGTCTACACGGGCTCTAACCAAACAGCGGTTTCTCTGCTCGTTCACACTGTTGAAAGGAAGTCGCGGTTCCTAGGACGCCCCCCCCCCCACGGTCAGGTGCCCTTCGCAGGGGCGCCGGGTGCTGCGCGTCGCGGGGACAGGGCAGGCCCCACTCCCGAGGGGACCCTTGCCGTGACCGGCGCTCGAGGCCTGACTCTGGTGGCGTCGGCGCCGTCCGTTTGTTGGTGGCACCCCGGTGGCTCCGCGGGCACCTCGGGGACTCCGAAGCGGCCCTGGAGGTGAGCTTCGTGGGTCCCAGGGTGGCCACCCGCTGTCTCCAGACGGGCTGCCAGGGCTCACGCGCAGCCTCCCCCTCCCCCCCGCGCCGTGCCCTCCGCGCAGGCTCCCAGACCTGCAGGTGCCAGGCCGGCGCTCCTGCGTGGAAGCAGGCTGGGCCGCGGCTGGGAGGAGGGAGGACCCCACCGCGTTCTGCCGGGCCCTTGTCAGGCCGTGGAGCGTGCGCTCGGTAGGCGGGGAGTCCAAAACCCGGGCCTCACGTTTGCATCCTAGAACGTGGCCTCGGGAAGAGTGGGCTCCCCGGTGGGCGCCCTCCCCTGTGAGAGGCACCAGGACGAGTCGCAGCAGTGACCTGGCGGTGCTCAGGGGGCCGCGGAGCCCCAAGGGACCACCGCAGAAATAACAAGCGGCAAGACTGCACCAGCGTGGTGGATTGAGAGCTGGGGGGCTCGGGGGGCGTTTTGGGCGGGAGGTTGGCAAAATTGAAACACTCTTTCTTGGCATTAGTCACCAAGCACTTAAACATCCGCGTTCGGTCTCGCTCCCTGGACTGCGCCCGCCCGTGCCGCCACCTGCCTCTCCAGCCCTTCTGTCACTGGGCCTCCAGCCCGGCTCAGCCCGGCGGCTCCCACGCGCAGCCTTCCGGCCCTTTCCTCCCTGGTGCGCGAGGTCTGCGGACAGGTGGACAGGCCCTGGCTCTGGGCTCAGCTCGCAGCCAGCACCGCGGCTCCTGGCCCCCAGCCCAGAGGCCCTTCACTGCCTCTTTGCGTCTTAGTTTCCTTTTTGATCCGTTCACCCAGCAGATGTTTACTTAGAGCCTGCTGTGCGTCAGGCTCTGCCCCAGGCCCGGGGAGACAAAGCCCCTGCCCTCAGGAAGCTCGCCTTCCCCACATTCACCCCTAAGGCCTGAGCCCCCAGACGCAGACGTTCCCTGCTGGGGATACGCCTCCGCCGGGTTCACAGTTACGGGGACATTGAGGAGTTTCGGTCTCGCGTCAGCCGCCCAGCACCGCAGGCACTGCCCCTACAGGACACCCGCGGCGCCCACCTGCCCAGCGGGAAATGGCGTGCTCCTGCACTCCGCCCCTCAGTGTCTCAGGGACACGCTGGGGACAGGAGGGCCTTCCCACGGGGGTGGGACTGCTGCCCGGGCCCGGAGCCCCACCCTGCAGGGTGCTGGCCCCCCGGCACCCCCAGCCTCGGGCCCTGCCTGCCTCCCTGGCCAGGTTGCCCGACGGCGGTGACTGGTCTTCGTGCTGAGGCCTGGGGTCCCCATGGCCTCGGAATCCCGTCCCTGTCACCTCCAGCCCCAGCCACTCAGTGTGGCCGTGTCCTTTAGACGTCTTTGTTTATGAAGAGTGTCCCTCAGGGGTGACCCCTGAATCTCTTACCAGTTCAGCCGGCTTTGGGACCGTCCCCCCGGCCGTGAGAGGGGGCCGAACAGCTGGGGGCCGGGCCCACACACCCTCCCATGAGCTCGTGGGCTCTGTGGGCACCCGGTGACTCGTCAGCGGGGTGTCCTGCTCTTGGTTTTGGCGCGGGTCGTGACCCCAGGGTGGTGGGATTGAGCCCTGCATCAGGCTCTACACTGAGCATGGACCTGCTTGAGAGCCTCTCCCCCGCCCCCACTCATTCTCTCTGTCTCTCTCTCTCTCTCTGTTAAAAAACAAACAGGCAAACTCCTGGGCTCCAAGTAAATGGCAGTGGGTGTCGGGGTGCCGTCCGGGACAGTCGGGCTGGGCTGGCCCAGCTCCCCAGAGCACCCGTAGGAGGCAGTGTGGCCTGCTGACGCAGGAGCCAGATTGAAAGTCTACTCACTCACTCTTCAGTGTGCCTCGCGCCATGAGGTGGCACTGAGCAGGGTGCCAGGGACATCCTGGTGAACACGACACCGAGGCCCGCACTCTTGACAGGGAGGAGAGAATACGGTGATCCCCGCGGGTGCTGAGCCCTGGGAAGGAAACCTCTGTGCGGCCCTCCTACCCGGGGGGGGGGGGGGGGGGGGGGGGGGGGGGGGAGAGGGGTGTCCAGGTGGCTCTGCGTGGGTGGTCAGGGAAGCCGAGGCCTGAAAGGCGAAGAGTCGGAAGGGGAGGTTCCTGCAGAGATCTGAGGACGGGACGCCCCGTGCGGAGGGAGCATCGGGTGCCGAGGGAGCGTTGGGTATAGAGATTCTGACCATGTTCAAGGCCAGTGCGGCTCGGGGGCCGCGCGGGAGGTGGGGGAAACCGCGTCTCTGCGGCTGTGTGGGGTGGGGCGGGCCCGGGGCCTGCGGGCCTTACCCCAGGGGCGGTGGGCCCACAGCGGGCGTTGTGAGCAGGGGTGGCCTGTGTGACAACAGCTGGGTGCAGGGGCTGCAGTGGGGACGCCGGGAAGGCTCCCTGGGGTGGGCGCAGGCTGCGAGCCGGGCAGGCCAGCACAGGCAGAGGCAGCTGGATTCAAGAGACCCTGGAGGGGGAGCCGCCAGGAGCTCCCGGTGGATGGGGTCTGAGAAGCGAGAGAGGCGGGAGAATCCAGAGTATCTTACACACGCGGAGAGGAAAGCGAGCGGGACCCTGGAACACACCGATTATCCGCCGCCGTGTCTAGGAAAGCGCTGTGGCTCTTGCGTCAGGTCCCTGGGCCCCTGCGGCCGCCCTCACCAGCCTTCTGCTTCTCAGTACGCAGACCCGGTGGCCGACCTCCTGGACCGCTGGGGCGTGTTCCGGGCCCGCCTCTTCAGGGAGTCGTGCGTCTTCCATCGCGGCAACTACGTGAAAGACCTGAGTCGCCTGGGCCGGGAGCTGAGCAAAGTGATCATCGTGGACAATTCTCCCGCCTCCTACATCTTCCATCCCGAGAACGCAGTAAGTAGCCCCGGGGGAGAGGATGGGGCCCCCCCCAGGCTCCTCCCTCACGCCCCGTGCCAGCGCTCTCGGCCTCTCCTTGGTGAAACCCCTGCTCTGCCGCGTGCCGCTGACCAAGTTCTCCAACCTCACTGAGCCTTAGTTTCCCGTCCATCTAACGGGGATTCTAGGGACGCCGGCCCCTAAGACGGTCGGAGGAGCGAGGGTGCACCGGTGAAGAGCACTTAGAACGGGCCTGTGGTGGGTGAGTGCTCGGTGAGCCCGATTCTTAGCGTTGGTACCGAGAAGGGCTCGGCCGTGAACCTCCCGGAGCCGGCTCCTGACTCCCGCAGACTCAGGAGGCCCGGCTACCTCTTCAGCGGAAGTTCTTAAACAAGAACGAATGAAACACCTCAATAAAGGCCTTCAGACAAGCCTGCCAGGCTTTCCCACCTCGTACTGATGTCTAGAAAGTATAGAGTAGGAACGTTTCCTACATGAGACCCCCTGGAGAGTGGCGGTCCTTCGTGCCTGCTCCCTGGGGACAGCGTGGCCGTCCAGGCAACAGACAGCTGCTCTCCCACCTCCCGTCTGCGTGTCCAGGCGAAGGCGGGCGGGCGGCCACCCCGCTGGTGACGGCCAGCCCTCGGCGGCACCGCCACACCGGCCCTCAGCCTTCCCGAGCCCAGGCTTCTCACGCTGACCAAAGGCCCCCCGCGTCCTTTCCTTGAACCCAGAACTCTGGCTGCACGAGTTCGCGCTAGATTCAGTTACTTAGCGTGTAATGATTACTTGAGTAAACGTTCCAAATTTATTACATTTATATGCATTCATTTTAGTGAGTTAATCAAATTCACCGTAATGCATTTTGTCATGTGTCTGTTAACCGACAAGGATTACTTCCTAATAGAATCACAATTCCATTATCCCATCTGACAGCTTCTTCATACTGTCTAATATCCAGACTGTTCGTATTCTCCTTCTCATCTGAACTGCTTTCCTGCATTTGGACTGTCTGAATCAGAACCAGACGAGGTCCGTGCACTGCCTTGGTTAGAAATGCGTATAATCCTGACCGTTCCATCCCATTTACTTGCTGAGGAAAGTCTGGTTGTCTCACAGAAATGCCCTCCCTTCTGGATTTGTCTAGCTGCAGCCTCATGGTGCTGTTTTATTACGTTTCCTAACTGCCTCAGAGCAGTTAGAAGTGCCCTGGAAGTACTTCGAGCAAGTACTCCGAGCACTAGTGCTTCACTCAGTGCAGGTGCAGTTTTGTTTTTTTCAAGAATACACCCAGGTGGTGGTGTATACTCACTGTGGTATATACACCAAAAGGCGTATAAGGTCAGGTTGTCCCACTTTTACAGATTTTAAATCGATTTGTGGATTCAGGTGTCTTAGCCTGATCCACCATTTTGTAAATTCCTCGTCAGCCTTTCACCTAAAAATGTGACCAGTCCTTAATGATCGTTGCCGACATCAACTATTTCATTAAGAATTGCGAAATGGTGATTTCTAAATTCTCTCATTCTTTCACATTTTTGGCCAGAACTCCTATTTTTTTTTTTAATCAGATTTGCCCTCATCAACTACTTGATTACCCTAGATTCAGTCTTGAATGTTTGAATCTGGAAGTCAGGATACTGTCTTATTTCTTTTTTTGTTTTAAGTCTTTAATCGTTAGAGTAATGAGTCAGTGGTCTGGCAGCTTCCAAATGTACCCAGTGAATGGGGGGCGGGGAGCATTAGTATGAACTCAGGATTTTTCACTGTCATAATTTAATCCATCTCTTATTCTTCCGTATGCTCAAATGTCTGTCCACCTTTGGACAGCGGACAGCCCTTCAAACAATAGTCTTTGAGAGCTTCCTGCTTTTCTGCCGCAACAAGATACCAGGCTCTTCTTATCCATTACTTAACCTCAGCCCCGGCATCAGCCCCTTTCCTGTGGAGCCGTGTTCGTATCAGTGGAAGTGGTACTGAGCGACCACAGTTTGAAGGGATTCTCATTGTTGCTGGGATGGCCTTTGCATCTGACCTTTTATACTAGACAGAGCTAAAATATATATGTTTTTAGAATTAAAACTAAATCATAAATTCATATTGGTTTTTCCAATTCAGTGTTCTAACAGTTTTTATTTAATTTCTTTGGTTTTGCTTTTGTGTTTCTATCTCCTTCTCTTGTGCTGAAATTCTTGCTTCCTAAATATGTTAACATCACTACATATTTGACTTATTCTATAGTATATATTTAATAGTTCCAAATAGCAGTACTAATGTTATTACTACCACTAAGACAATTGAATGCACGGAGGGCATCTTTTAGAAATGTACAGACAGAACACTGTATTTTAAAACCACTTGAAATAATTCTCTGTGTGGTATGTTGCCAACTTTATATACACTTAGGTTCATTTTTTTATTGCTTTTTTTCCTGAATGGTTTAATTTTATTTCAATTACATAACACATTTCCATGATTCCAGCACCAAAACTACCAACAGAGATAAATTTAGAGAAGTCTTGTGTCCACGTCTGCCTTCTCCCTCTCTCCTGCCCTTCTCCTCGGAGTAGTCATTTTTTTGTTAATCCTTACCTTGTTTATATTTTTTTATTTGAGGGGAGGTAGACACAGAGAGCATGAGTGGGGGAGAGGCAGAAAGAGGGAGAGAGAAGCCCAAGCAGCCCCCATGCTGTCAGCACCGAGCCTGACGTGGGGCTCAGTCCCGTGAACCAGGACGTCATGACCTGAGCTGAAACCAGGTTGGATGCTGGCCCTATGAGCCGCCCAAGCGCCCCTACTTGTTAGGTATACGATGAATTGTTTTGTTCTGAGCGGTCCTTAAAAGGGCCCAGTGTTACTTCTGTGGACCCCTTTGCTCTCCCCAAATTCCTTTCCACATCTCGAGACTCTTTTGCACCACGGGCTGCTACCCATTACCACCCCCACCTCTAAACTACGGGGAAGTCCTGTGTGTGCCCATGGCTCCGCGGTCCTGAAATTCTGTACCCCTCCGTCTCACTGGTCACTGCCAAGGGCGGACGGAAGTTCCCCACTTTCCCCACCGGATCGCATGTGGCGGTGGCCCCCAGGGGAAGGCTTTCTGTGCCCTGTGCAGACTCGGTGCTGTCTGCCCGGTGGTACTGGTGGCACCAAGTGCCCTGGGCTGTAAGGAGCTGGTTGGACGCAGCCGAGAGAGCCTTTGAACTTGGCAGGCAGCGGCCACCACCATTCCTGTGCAGGGAAGCAAAGCGAGCACATGCACACTGACTGACATCTCCGTCACTTAAGAAGCAGATACACTTTGGGGCGCCTGGGAACTCAGTCGGTTGAGCGTCCGACTTCAGCTCAGGTCATGATCTCACAGTTCGTGGGTTCCAGCCCCGTGTCGGGCTCTGTGCCGACAGCTCAGAACCTGGAGCCTGTTTCAGAGTCTGTGACTCCCTCTCTCTCTGACCCTCCCCTGCTCACGCTGTCTCTCTCTCTCTCTCTCTCTCTCTCTCTCTCAGAAATAAATAAAACATTAAAAAAAAAAAAAAGAAGCAGATACACTTACCTCTGCCTCCTTCCTGCACCAGGGAGCTTAGGACCCATCTTAGTTGGGACGGGAGAACAAAGATGATGGAGGATGCTTTTTAGACACGTGGCCTCCGTGGCAGAGAAAACGGTAACCGGGCGCGAGCGTCCGGCCAAGAGCTGCCGGCTGCCGGGAGCCGTTCCGCTGCCCCTCCGCGCGCTGTCTTGCAGGTGCCCGTGCAGTCCTGGTTCGACGACATGACGGACACGGAGCTGCTGGACCTCATCCCCTTCTTCGAGGGCCTGAGCCGGGAAGACGACGTGTACAGCATGTTGCACAGACTCTGCAGTAGGTAGCGCCGGCCCCGCCCACCGCCGCCTGTGCATCCAGGACCTCGGCCCGCAGACCCGCCTGTGCGCCCCGGCCGTGCGCCACAGGGCCTCGACCTCGGGGACCCGCCCCGTGCGCCCCGGGACCTCGACCTCGGGGACCTGCCCGTGTGCCCCGGGACCTTGGCCTCGGGGACCCGCCCGTGCGCCCTGCACGTGTGCTCCGGGGCCTCGACCTCGGGGACCCGCCCCGTGCGCCCCGGGACCTCGACCTCGGGGACCCGCACCGTGTGCCCCGGGACCTCGGCCTCGGGGACCCGCCCATGCGCCCCGGGGCCCCGTCCAGGAGCTGAAAGTGAGGACGCCCTGTGCTCCGGGCCGCGAGGTCAATGTCGCCATACCTACCTGTTTTATTTTTTAAGAACAGAAACACTATTTTAAAATGAACTCTTTTAACAGATTTCATAAAGGGACATGCATTTTACGGGATTTGCTTTTCTTAAAACATACCAAAAAGAAAAAAATGGAAGAAAAAAAAAAGCTTGATATCTATGGGACTTCCTTTCAACTGCCCCCCCCCAAGCAGACAACCTGCCCCTTTCTGTCCCAGCTCCGAGCAGCTGACCCAACTCAGAATCTCTTTCCTACGGATGAAGTGCCTTTTTGAATGTTATTTTAAGCTGAGAGTTAATTTTTCTACACAACATATTTCCAGACATCTTTTAGTCTTTTATTATCTTAGATTCTCTAAGAAGACGACTATGACAATTTTCTAGAAGCTGGGGGGTGGGGTGGCTAGGGATGGAGGACGGTCACAGAAGCCTGTCTCCCAACAGGTGTGACCGCTCGGCGCCCTGTGGCATGGAGCAGGCCAGGCGGCCCGCCAGAGCCTCAGTGACCATGGCCGTGTCCCCATTCAGCACTGACCCAGTGTGCAATGTACCTGCAGTTGTGTGGCTCAACACTTTAGGAAACAACAGCTTCTTTCCTATGGTCACTCGTTTCTGATGGTGACAGCTTGTCTCGAAGGCACACTGTCCCCTTGAAAAGTGGCATCGTCACTTCTGCTTCCACACTACCGCCATACTTCTGTGTGTGTTTCTGTTTTGTCGTCGTCGTTCAGGGTAGAGCAGTTACAAGAAACTCTAAAACCCCTTGGATATTTAAAAAAAAAAAATCTGCTGATTGATTTTTAAATTTTTTCCTTTCCAAAAGCTGGATACACACGGAGCTGTTTGGGAATTTTCTTTGCTGCTATTGTGCTGCCACCAAATGGAATTGACCAGCGGCTGTTACACTGTTCTTTGCCACCGTGCCTATGCTCAGAACCTGCTCACTGCTCAGCTGCAGAGCTGGACAGGGCCAGAGCCCCAGGCCCCCCCCACCCCCTGCAGAGCGCAGCAGGCACCCCCGCCTGGCTCTGGCCTCGGGAGTTCCGGAGGGAAGGGAGGCAAGGGGCCAGCGCACCACCCGGGCGTGGCGTGGCGTTTTCAGCTGCAGCCCAGGTCACATGCTGTGACGAGCTGCCGGTTCTCTCTTGAGAACCCGTGGCCTCCAGCAGCTGCCCCACTGACGCGGCCCAAGCCCCTTCTCGGTCTTCTCTTTTGAAGCACAGCCGATTTCTGAGCCGGGGTTGGGGAAACCTGTCCAGATGCGGAACTCGTCGCCCCGGCCGGGCCGGGGAGAGGACGGGTGCCCTCCCCGGCCCGGGGCTTCCTCTGCAGCCTTTCCCAGTGAGCTGTTTAAGTAAGCAGTGCCATGTTCCTTGTTTGACAAGACAGTCTATAAAGTATTGCCCTTAAAAATAATTTAGAAGAACCCTGTCGTGTCGGCACCATTGCCTTAGTCCTCTGTGGGTTGGGCCTCCGCCACAGTTCTGGTGGGAGCGGCTGGCACTAGCTAGTGTGGGAACGGGGGTCGAAGTAAAATTCTGTGCTTGCTTTCATTCACAAAATACTGAAGCCAGCTGCCAGGCGTGTCTTGCCAACAGCACTTTGAGCCGCAGACTGCCATGCGCTCAGAAGAGAAATAAGTATTCAGGGGCAACTGGGTCCCCCAGCTTTCTGAGTGTGCAGAATCCAGTAACCCCCATGCCGGTTAAAGTAGAAACGGCCCCCTGCCAGCATTAGCACACATCACCACAGTTACCCGGCGGGTCTGCACACGCCGTAAGCCCTGATCTGGAAAACTAGTCATGAAACCAACCCGCTGCCTTAAATGTCTCAAATGTTGCAGTCCAGCGTCTGTCGTGTGTTGACCTCCACACAGCAGTCAGCCCTGGTGAGAGCCCCGGACCCTCAGCCGTGCCCTCGTCTCCACTGGCATCCTGAGCGCTCCTCTGGGGCAGGGGGCAGAGAGGATGAAGTTGTAGAGATTTCAGGGGACTCAAACCTATAGACGGTGTCTGCCTCTGCGAGACGGAGTGATGACACTGGCGAGCTTGAGCCGGACTCTGCCCCTAGTAGGTCCTGAAGCCGTGAGCACCCCTGCACGATTGTTGGGGGCGGAGTCCGGTTCCCGCCATCGCAGCCCCGGAATGCCTGGTGGGGGGCAGCAGACCCCCCAGGCTTCTGGATTCCCTGCACCTTATTTGACCACACTCCAAAATTCCATTTTTGTTTTCACCCTCGACTCTGCTTTATGTACATAATCAGGATATCGAGATCTCTCTCTATATTTTTAATCATCTACATGTAAATGAAGCAATAGCAATGACTAACATAAGGCCAAGAAATGAGATGAATGTTTGGGGTTTATGTTTTTTAAGGTAAATACGGGTATTGTTTTTAATTATTACCTTTTATTAAATTGTGGGCTTTAAAACCTAATGAACCCTATTTGCAATTTCTCTGTGCCATATGCTTCCCATGTTTCCACAATACCTCCCCCCCCAACTCTTCAACCAAAAGAGAAACCCCACCTCCTGAGTTTCCACGGCCCTTCTGGTCCCAGGTTAATATAGTCTCCTGGACAAGTATTTTTTACATTAAGATCTGGGACAACATCTCTTGGGTCTTGGACTCTGGCCCCCCGTGATGTTAGGACATCTGTGGCCGGGCCTTGAGTGGAGGTGCCCAGGCACATCCGAGGTCGTCACTGCTCTGTCTTCCATCGTTCTGGAATCTTCTATGTTGGTCTGTGGTTTCACACATTAGCTGTTTGTAAACCATGTATCTGTATACTGAGGAGGAACACCCCTGGTCACAGCCGATGGGTGGTGGGGAAGCTCCTTTGACACAGTGCAATTGTGATGAGGTGACTTTGGAGACGGGAGGAGGCCCCGATGACACGGACTTGCCAAGGTCGCAGCATTTGAACTTCTGGTATAGAAAAAGAAATCTGTGGACCTATGACCTGGCAACATGTTGAAACCCTCCAGTTTAAAGACGGCCCTCTAATAAAATCTAGAACCACACAGCCCAATAGGGTCAAACACTCGTGACGTTTGTGCCTCCGCTTTTAAAGGTGCTGTGATGTTGGCACGCCAGGGTTGGAGAGGCTGCCTCTGTTCCTATTTCACTGTAAAGTCGATGCTGTCTGTTCCCCGTTCGTTCTCCAGGGAGCTTCTCTGCAGACTAACCCCCCTCCCCTCCCCCCACCCAGTGGTGGAGATTCGGTGCCTGGGTAGTCATGGGTTTCTGTTGGACATTTGAATGTGATAAGCAAGCCAGAGTTTCTCGGGAAACAGGACACGTGGGGTGTGCACGTTTCCAGGGGCGAGCCTTGTGGGTCGAGAGGTTTGCAATGATTTCCTTCCTGCCAAAAATAAACACGTGAAACAGCGCCCTCTTGTGGATGGACTGCTTCTCCGCGCCAGCGCCTCTCCCTCTCTCCTCTCCCCCTGCACAGCGTGGTGCGCGCCCCTTGGGTCTCTGGGGGCCCCCCCGCTTCTGCAGAGCCAGGGTGGATGGGGGGCAGGCTGCAGCAGCCACAGCCCCCCACGGCGGTACCCACACCCCGAGCCCGTGGGCGCGCTGGCTGGGATGCAAAGAGGAAGGATATGCGAGCCGGCAGGCCCGCAGTGGGACCCCCGCCAGGCCCTGCCCTCGCCCCGCCCCTCTGGACGTGAAGGTGAGGGGGCTCCGGAGTCGTGGCAGAGCCACGGGCGTGGCCACACCACTCTCGGGACTGCGTCTTCACCGTGATCTCCAGTTCACATGGAGAACACCGGCGGCAAGAGCCGCATTAGACAGGTCTTACCCATTTTGGTGGATGAGAAGACTGAGGCCAGGAAAGCAGCGCTCTGCGGTCTCTGTTCTGTCACGGGCTTCCACCAGGCACCTGCACTCGTCCCCAACGGCACAGTGCACAGTGTGGGTCAGCCTGGGAAACGCAGTGTTTGCAGCACCCCAAATCCGCACAGCCAGTCTGTGCCACGCCCCCTGGTGCGGGGGTGGGGGGGTGCAGCCAGAGAGGCCTCCCCAGTCCTGGGCTCCAGGCTGTCTGTCCCGCCCCTCCTTGGCTCTGCTGCCTGGCCTTCTTCCCCTTGCCTTCCCTGGCATCACCCCCCTACCCACAGCTGCTTCCCACCTCCGTGCACAGCCGGACAGGCAGCAGAGAGGCCTGGCAGCCCCTGAGGCCGAGGTGCCCCAGGGAATGTCCGCGGGTCCTCGGGATGAGGGGGGGAACATCCGCCTCAAGAGCTCACTGATTTGGGACATGGGCATGCTGAGGTTTTGCCTCCCGGTGTTTTCTTGTTTGAGCATAAATCATCTGCCTGTATTCCAGGACCAGAGAACGGATGGAAGCCAAGGAGGGGAGGGGAGGGGAGGAGAGGAGGAGCTGGAAAAAGCCAGCCGGAGAGACGATCTGTTGAGCTAACGAAAGGGGGATGCACTGGGGGTCCTGGCAGAGTCCTCAGACTAACTGGGACGCAACCACATGGCCGATCTCCGGTGCTGGGGATGCCCGTGGGTCAACAGGCTGCTCAAGGCCCAGAGCCACCAACTGGCATGGCCACAGCCTGATCTCCAAGGAGACCGTGGACGCTGCAGCACTCAGGAGGAGGGTATGTGGGCTCCAGAGTGTTGCACCCCAGACTGCACGACAGCCCCATCTCAGGCCAGCGAGCCTCGGCGCTGGCTGCCATTAGTCACCCGAGCCCCAAGCCCTGAGAGTGGGCATCGTATTTTCAAGTGCCCCAGGTGACTCACAGTTGCAGCAAGGCCTGAGAAAGGAAAGTCCTCCAAACTGTCTCAGGCCTGACACCCTGATCCAGCAAAGGGGTGATGGACAGGGCTTGGAGGAGGCGGCATGTACCACTTTACCGTAAAGATCAGCCATACACGTTCACTGCCTAAAGGAAAGAACCAGGAAGTTAACAAGAAAGCCCTACATGGGCACTGGGAGCCTTTCCCAAGGCAGGGGTGAGGGGAGCTCCTGAGAGCCACACGTGGCTGGCAGCTCCCTGCTTTTACACTGAGGTGGGGAGCAGAGTGGATACCCCCACGTCGCGCTGCAGCACCGGGTCACGCCGCCCCCAGCCCCCTGTCCTGGCCCAAGCGGCGCCCTGATGGGGCGGGTGCATGGCTGGACCGGGCCGCACGTGGAGGCCGCGGGAACGCAAAGCAGCAGCACCTCCTTCAGTGCAGGACCCGGGGCTTTGTTGGGCTATCCTCGGACTCCATTAGGCCGTCAGAATGGTGGCCCTGCGGGCGGGCACAGCGACAGACTCCATTTCCTCTGTCACTAGGGGCTCCCCCCTCCTGGGCCCTGGTGACGGCGGCCTGCGCCTCCGCGACCTGTAACCAGTGTGGGCCCCCACGCGGGCCTAAGGCCGCTCTCCTGAAAGGACTGGGGTCCGCGTGTTTCCAGGCAGCGGGGTCCCTGACCCAGGCCGCCCCAGCCCACGCCCGGTCTGCGCTCCAGGGGTTCGCGCCCCCCCGCCCCCCGCAGGACCTGGTCTCCCCGGGGACACCTGCCCGGGAAGGGCCCTGACGGGACCTGGGACAGTCCCTGGAGAACCAGAGCGCGTCCCGGCGCGTGGCCGGAAGGGGCGGGGCCGGCTTCCAGCGTCTGCCCCGCCCACTCGGGCCGCGCCTGCGCCGTTGTGGGTATTTAAGCGAAGCCGGCGGCCTCGGGCCTGGTCTGCTGAGACCAGCCCCGAAGAGAGACGGGGCCCGAGGCGGCCGTGCCTCCTCACGCGGGGACGCGTCCGCCCAGAAGCCCGCGCAGTGGGTCCAGAACCCCGCAGCCAGTGGGCGCCTCGGCGGGGGTGGAGCCTGGCCCCGGGGAGGCCCCACCCGGGCGCCTGCTTCAGGACGGCCCGACCCAGGACACGCCAGAGACCTCCTCCCCAGCAGCGGAGGCGCCGCGGGCCAGGCCCTGCCCGCTGGGCGCCCCGGGGCAGCTGGGGGCGGGCGCTTCCGCGAGCGCTGGGAAGCCGGGGCTGCCACGGCCCGGGGGGGCCCCTCGGGGGAGTCATTTCGGTTGAGGGCAGAATGCAGAAGCTTCCGGCTGAGGTAACAGCAAGCACGAGGGTCCCGACGACAGTGAGGCTGGTGTCTGCAGGGACAGCGAGAAACCTGCAGCTTGAATGGGGAGTGAACGGCCACGCAGCCAGAGGGACAGGCCACCCGGGGAAGCAGGGCAACGGTGCGACCTCGGTGGCTAGGGGACCTCTGGCTCCGTGGGAACACGGCCTAGCGGCCAGAGGGACCGGGAGGCACAGACGGAGGCTTACGCCCAACTCTGGGCCGGGGGTCCGGCCGAGTTCAGGCTCGGGGCTGACCCAGGCTGGCCAGCGGCTGCCCCGTGCAGGTGACAGGCGGAGAGGAGCCCGCGAGGCCCCAGGCACGGGCCTGAGCCGCCCGCGGTGTTCACACCCGCTCCTGGCCGGGGAGACGATGGACGTCAGTGTGAGGCCAGCGCCAGGACACTGTGACGAGACAGGCGGGCGGGGGGGCGGTGCTGAAGAGACACTAACGCTTCCCTGGCATTTACAGCCCGGGGTCGGGCCTGGATGGAAAGAGACGGAGCTAAGGCCCGAGTTGCCCGCGCTGACATCCGAAGGTCCCAACAGAGAGGGCAGAGTGGCCAGCGAGGCGAGGAGGACGCGTCGTCTGCGTGCTCTTTCCAGAGGAAGGGGTGGCCGCGGCGTCCCCGGGCAGTAAGAGGAAGGGCGGGTGAACCAAGCACCAGCGGTGACAGGAGGGGGCCCTTTCCAGGGACTTCCGGAACTGAGGCCAAGCAGAGTGCACGGAGGGAGGGATGAGGACCCGGGATGTCGCCGAGCCCGGGCCCAGCGCAGCACACGGACACAGAAGGGAACAGAGGGTGTGACAGACACACACAGGGACCCGTTGACACCGTCTGTTAAACACTCATGTCAACTAACTAGAATTTCAATAAAAACATTGTCTAAAAGGTGGAGCTTACAAAAGAACACAACAGCCCCGCAGTCACACGCTGGCAGCCGTCCTTCGGGCACCGGCAGAGCCCGTTTCCCGGAGGCGCCCCCTCTCCGGGGCAGGGGGCGGTGCGGGTGAGGACCGGACATGGGACCGCCGGGCAGCTTTCCGCAGTGCATCCTGGGAGCCGCGTCCACGGGCTGGGCCACGGCTAGGACCGAGGCCTGTGGCCTCAAGGAAGGCGCGGCCCCTGTTCCTAGAGTTTCTGGAACGCTCTGTGTCCAGCGCCTCCCCCGCCCCACAATCAGGAAGGAAAGCAGCAGCCTCCCCCACGCCCGCTGTCAGGGCCCCCGGGGGCGGCCGTGCTGGACAGCAAGCCTGCACTGGGAGCAGGGGCCCCTCAGAGACGCCCCGCCTCCCGAAGTGACCCGGGTCTCACAGAGCCAGACTGCCCCCCCTTCCTCCTAAAGTTTGTTGAGTGGCCTGGCCTTCTGGGGGGGGGGGTGGAGGGGGGAATCAGGGGAAAGTCACAGGACGCTCCACACCCCACATCCTGGCCCAGCCCAGGCCTCCCTGCCCTGCTGTGCCCTGGGGACCGGGTGGCTCTCAGAGAGCCGGCTCAGTCTCTGTGGACTGACGGACGGACGGACGGACTGCCGGACTGCACTGGCGGCCGGCCCTCAGGCAGCGGTGTGTCCTGCTGGGCAGGAGCAGGGAGCAGGCTGGGGGACGGGCGAAAGAGAGCACTTGCCAGAAGGTGGGCCAGCCAGGGAGGGGCTGCGGGATCGGCGGGGAGGGGCTGCTCCGAGTCAGGGGTGTCTAGCAAGGGGCCGTGGGGCTCAGGGTGGCCCGGGGTCCCCAGAGCTTGGGAGGCAGCCAGCAACATGGGTGGGGGCAGGGTGGGGGCAGGGAGGCCCCGGCCGGGAGCCTGACGGGGAGAAAGTGCAGGTGGGGGGCTGCCGCCCAGAGTCGCTATACCTGGAGGCCCAGGCCCTCCCTCCGTCCTCCGTCCCCGCTTTCACAGGGAGCTAGGAGGAGGAAGTGGCCCAGAGGAGGGGGGCTGGGAAAGGAGGGGGCGCCTGGCGGTGAGAAGGACGCAGGGGAGAGCAGGGGAGCCAGGGGCATGGGGGAAGGGGTGTGGCAGGGGAATGCGAGCAGGGGGTTCTGGGGGAGAGAAGGGAGCACTGGGGGCAGGGAGGGCAGAAAGCAGGGCGCTGGGCAAAGAGGGTGTGGGGGGGAGGGGCGCCCAGGAAAGGAGGGGGATCAGGGAAGGGGGCCATGGGTCTGTCAGAAGAAGGACTAGGCAGCTGGGAGAGGAGGGGGCCCCAGGCTGGAGGGGGCAGGCCCCCAGGGAAGAACGGGGGCTTTCAGAAGGAGGGGCGGGGGGGGGGCAAGCAGGGCAGGTGATTCCCCAGGGGAAGAGCAGACGCTAGCGCGGGAGGGCCGGGCGGTTTAGAGGAGGTGCTCTGGGAAGGGAAGGGCCCCCTGAGGGAGAAGGCGACTGCTTGGGGGAGGGAGAGGGTGCTGGGGGGAGAGAGCAGCCCCCCAACCTGGGAGCATCCCTTCCCCCATCGCCCCAGCCCAGGCTCCGTGGGGATGAGGGCCTCGGGCCCTGGGAGCCTGAGAGGCTGCTCCCCAGGCTGGAACTGGCTGGGGGGCGCCCTCCCGGGCCCTGCGGGTGAGGCTGCCCTGCCTGGTGACACTAGCCCAGTGCAGCCTCTGGCCGCCAGTTTGACTCTCCTGCCCCCCCGGGGGCCCCTGGCGGCCCCACTGTGTCGCTGTTCCACAGCCCATAGTGTGTTCCTCTGGGCCTGGCCGCCTTCACCGTCCATCACTGTTGAATGTCACCACGCCTGTCACTCAATGTCCCCCTGTTTTCTGGTGCTTGGGCCAACCTTGCCGCGATCAGCAGCTGCTCGTCACACCAACAGCCACGTTCGCAACCATGGTTGTGGGTGCAATGGCCACAGGGTGACCCGCTGTCCATGCACCTGCGCTCAGTGCACAGTGCGTTTCGTCCACTCAACAGCGAGCTGAGTACACTGAGTGTCTCTTGGGCGGCTCGGGTGGCGGTCAGCCGGAGGCCACGTCCTGGGCCCTGGCGGCCCTCCGCTCTGGTGAGGGAGACCGTGCCTACAGCGTCCCGGGCTCCTGCGTCTGGCCCCGGCGGCACCGCCCCTCTGCCCGCCCTGCTCAGGGCAGCTCCCTCCCCCACTCCAGGCTTCCAGAAGCCTCCTTGGTCCTTGCTGAGAGGGTTGGGAGTTCCCCACCTCAAACTGTGAGCTCAGCGGGCCGGGGCCCCGCCCTTGGGGTCCCTGGACCAAGGTGTAAGGAACGCAGCCACTCTGCATGAGTCACAGTGCGCCTGTCAGCCGACCGGCCCACCTAGCTCACCCTGGTCGGGCAGGGTCAGCAGAGCCGCGAGGGGGCCCGCTGCTGCTAAGACCGGGCTGGAGCGGAGTGGGGAGCCCCTGACCCTACACTAGGGTCACTAGGAAGGAGGAATTCAGGGAGGGTGACGCGCGGGTCTTGGGCAGAGCCGCAGCAAGAAGCACGTTCGCAGCCGGCCGGATTCAGGGAGGGAAGAGAGAAGTGCAGCGCTTGCGACCCTCACACAGGAGCGTTACCAGGGCAGGCTGGGTACCTGCCGAGGTGTCACAGGCTCCAGAGCCCCGGCCTGCCCGGACACCCCTCCTTCCATGCCGCCCGCCTCGGTATGCTGGGAGCTGGCTCACCTAGCTGTTTGCAGAGCCTGCAGCTGTTTGCAGGGCCTGTTTGTACTCAGAGTTCAGCTGTGCTTCTGGCGTGTGAGAGCCCCCGTGCTTGATCCCCCCCTCCCGTCGCACGGGGCCAAGCCTGCTGCTTGCTACGGAGTCTGTCACCGTCCCCGGAGACCGTCCTGGGTTTCCAGCCACTCCGTCCCCTCGGCGTGTCTCCTGAGCCTATGTCTGGAGGCCCTTTTCAATGTATTTTGTCAGATCCCGGCTTTTCAGTCTGTCCCTAGGTCCCTGTGTCTAAGATGTGCGGTGACGGCCGACGCTGCCCTGCATGCGGGGCCTCTCCCTGCATGCAGAGTGGGCCTGGGGTCCCCGCGTGGGACACCTCTCTTCTGCCTGAAGACACCCTTCCTGTCTGCAAAGCCTCGTTTGCAGCGCCTGGCCCTCTGGCAGCCCTGTGTCCTCCGCGGTAAGCGCCCCTGCCTCCGGACCACGCCCCTGTTGCCGAGGCTTTTCCCATTTCGGAACTGGGCCTGAGCCCTGTTTGCACCACCTACGACATTCTTTAGGGCCCTGTGTGCGTGCCCGACCCGAATTTCCCCGGATAGAAACTGTACCTGCCTGCAAGCTCTGTACCTGCGAAGAGTTACCGCTGTCAGAGGTCACCGAGCCTGGGGGCCCCTGGGTCTTTCCGCACAGCAGAGTCCCGTTTCCAGGGCCCGTCCTGTCTGCCTGCTCTGCTCCTAATTCCACGTGTAGCCGTTAGCAGAACGCGCCCCGATTTACAGAGCCCTTCTCCGTTTCCAGGATTCAACTTTTTCTGTAAGGTCTGTCCCTGTTTGCAGGACCTGGGCTCTCGACAGACCCCAGTCCTGTTTCAAGATCTCGCCCGAGTCTGGGCCATCCGAGCTTGACCACGAAGCTGATTTCCCTGCCAGCTCACTTCCGCAGACCCTGCCTCTCTGAAGAAGCTGTCACTGTTAACAGAGCCTGTGCGTGTGCAGAGCAGGTGGAGGCTTGCAACACCTCTCCCTGCCTGCTGGTCTCTGTGTGCAGAGCCTCCGTCTGCAGAGCCTCTGCCTTTTTTACAGAGTCTGGATCTCTTTGCAGGATTCCTGATTGTCCAGCCGGGTCCCACCTCCCTGCGTGCAGGATCGGGGTCTGTCTCCCAAGGCCGTTCCTGCTCCCAGTGACCAGCCTGGAAATGCATGGTTACTCAAGAGGCTGCCTCTGTCTGGGCAGACGCTGTGCCTGTTTGCAGAGCCTTGTGTGTCTGTGCGCCTGTCCACATCTGCAGTCCGTCCCTTATGTAAGGAGCACCCCCTAAGGGTGTGTCCCCATCCACACCTACAGAGCCTTCCCCAGTCTGGAACATTCGTCCATGCCTGCAGGATCGGGGGCTGTTCATAGGGGCCTCTCTGTGTTCTCAGCCTTCACTTGTTGGCCTGGCTTTCCCTGGGGAGAGTCTGTATCTCTTTTCAGGTGGCCCTTCGACAGACAGGTGGCCCCGACTCCAGATCTCCTTTTTGTCAAGAGAGCCTGTGCCCATTGCATCCCTTTCTTCAGTCTGACGAGGTTGCCCCATTTGCGTATTTATCACTTAGGGGATGTTTGGATGGCTTCCACGTTGGGGCTGTTAGGGATAACGCTGTGATTAACATTGTATGCACGGGTTTCTCCCCCGGTTTTATTGAGATATAATTGGCATACAACAGTGTACAGTCTAAGGTGTACTGAGTGATGGCTTGACTCACAAGTACCCGAAGTGATCACCCCACTGCATTTAGTTAACATCCCCTCATCTACAAGCCATTTGGGGAGACATGTTTTTCCCTCTCCCTTGGGGATATACCCAGGAGTGGATACCAATGTTGTTTTGAGTTTGCCTTTACGTTACTGCGCCCACCAGAAATAGGTCTTCTGCTGCAAATTGCTTCAAAACATATTCAATTAATAAGTGCAATATCGTAAGTTAAACCATAGGAAAATGCCAACACTTGATCATTTCTGTTTCATACAGTTAAACCCCATACATGAACACATTTATACGTGCACACGCAGAAAACACACCACTCCCATGTGATGGGCCTATAGGTGGGCATGTCTACACATATACATGAATATTTGTGTCCGTGTGCGCACATACCCAAATTACATGCACTCATGTCTGTACTTATATGATACCCTTGTGCCCCAACTTGTATACATGGCATACAGGTGTACATACATGGTACACAGTTACACATACCTGCTATGCAGGTACACATGCATGGTATACATACATGGTACGCAGGTGCACATACGTGCTATGCAGGTATACACGCATGGCACACAGGCGCACATACGTGCTGTGCGGGTATACATACATGGCATACAAGCATACATACATGGCATGCAGGTATACATACATGGCACGCAGGTACACATACATGCTATGCAGGTATACATGCATGGTATGCAGGTATACATACATGGCACGCAGGTGCACATACATGCTATGCAGGTATGCATACATGGCAAGCAGGTGCACATACGTGCTATGTGGGTATACATACATGGCACGCAGGCACACATACATGCTGTGCAGGTATACATGCATGGTAAACAGGTACACATACATGGTATACATACATGGTACGCAGGTACACGCACATGGTACATAGGTGTGTGTGCACAGCATGTATGTATTTACATCTCTGCATGTATAAACATGCTATGCCCTGCACATACTTGCACGTGTCCCCATATCTACACGCACACTCCTGCCCCGTGTGTGTGCTCCTGTGCTTGCACTTAAAAAGGCACCTGTGTGTCCCCACCTGCTCACACCTGCACTCAGCCCTGCACGTAGCTGTGGAGGGTCTCCCATGGGACACCACCCCCTCCTCAGCCACAGGAGAGGAGGCCTGGCCTCTGCCCCCAAGCACGTGGACACCAGCCTATACAACATCCAGCGACTGCTGCACATCTGAGGGAGGAAGCACATGTCGGCCACTGAGGTGAGGGCTGCTGGGGGGCCGCTTGGTCCTCGGGCTCAGGCCGGACCGCGTACTGAAGTACAGGGGAGTGTGGAGGGTGGAGGTGGGGCGGTTGGGGGGGGCGCTGTCTGCATTCCCGATGGCCTGTCTTGAAGGAGGGGAGAGAAGGCAGAGCCGAGCTGCCAGCCCCACCCCTCCACGGTTCCTCTGATCCCGTTTTCTCACCCATCCCATGGGCACATTAACAACTTGGGGAGACCGGGGCGCCTGGGGGGCTCAGTCAGTTAAGCGCCCGACTTCGGCTCAGGTCATGATCTCACAGTTCGTGGGTTCAAGCCCTGCATCGGGCTCTGTGCTGACAGCTCAGAGCTTGGAGATGCTTCAGATTCTATGTCTCCCTCTCTCTCTGACCCTCCCCCGCTCATGCACACGCATGCGCGCTCTCTCTCTCTCTCTCTCTCTCTCTCTCTCTCAAAAATAAAATAAACATTTTTAAAAAAACTTGGGGAGGTGCCGCAGACAAAACGGTGCACCCGGCTGGTCCAGGGAAGCACGGGGGGGGGGGGGGGGGGGGGGGGGGGGGGCGGGTCATGGCCCCGCTCTCTCTGTGCACATTGTCCTTACCACCCACAGGCACACACACTCTCTCACAGAGTCAGTGAGCACACATCCCAGGTCACGTGGGGAGGACACGCAGCCCCAGGTTGTGCCCGCCAGATTGACATCATATTAGGCATCCCTCCTTTTACTCCCCAGAGCGCCTCTGTTTGGATGATAACTGTCCTTATCCCTGGATAACACATTGTCCCCCATGCAGGGACACGTACATTGTCCCCATGAGCTCACATGCAGGTTAACATTTGACGTGCCCCCATATACATACACACGAGCATGTACACACACGTGTACACACATGGGTAAACAGTACAGCCCACGTGTGTACACACTGTGTGCACAAGCGTGCAGCACGGATGTGCGCTCAGTGAAGTGTCGTGACCCTGCGCACCCCGGGAAAGCAGCATTCCCTACAGTGGTGCCTAGAGACGCACACAGCTCCATCCACAGGTGACCTTCGCGGTCTCGTACAGTGACTCAGAAGCGGGCTTACACACCGTAACGCTGGTGCCACGGTCACACACACACCCAGGGCATCCAGCTTCATGCACACGGCGAGCTGTGCTCACGTGGGTGGGGACAGGCTCCACTGGGCGCTGGCCGTCTGCTGCCCTGGTTGCCGCCCTGCCCCTCTGCCTCTGGCAGGTACAGCTCTCTTGGGATAGCTTTAATAGGAGAGTCTTCCGGCTGGACCCGGGCAGGCTGACGACCCAGAGGAGCAGGCCCGAGAGCAGCGCTACCGAGGAGGCACGGGTCAGTGTCTACCTGGGGACTGAGGGGCGCGGGGCTACCCTCCAGACGCCTCGGGAGGTGGGCTGGGTTCTCCACCACCTTAGAAGCCCCTGCTCTGTGCAAGCTGAGTCCAGCCCCTCCCCCTGACCCCAGGCTCTGGGAGCTGAGCTGCGACAGGAAGGATCTGGGGTAGACCATCAGCAGGGGGCGGGGCGGGGGGGTGGGGGGGGCGGCACCCTGGGGAAGCCCTGACTGCCAGTCCTCTCCTACAGGGCCTGGCCCTGACCTGCAGCCTCCGGGATGGGGAGCATGGTGGCCGCGCACAGATTAGGCTGCTGGATGATGAGGCCGAAGCCACTGGCCTCATGCAGATCATGGAAGCCGTGCCGGGCTGCAGAGTGGGCGGCCTGCACGCCACCGTGCCCATCCAGGGGGTTAACCAGCTGCAGAAGGCCAGTGTCTGTCTCTGCCAGTGAGCAGATCTTGGGAGCTGGCAGGGCCTGCATGCCTGGGTCGGCCTGTCATTACTGCACTAACACAGGGTCTCTAGAAAGTCCTTCAGAAAAGACCCGTGGGTTTCTGGAACAAGCCATGTGGGGCTTTGGGCCCAGCCTGTAAGCCTGTACTCTTGCATGACTGCCTTTCTGAGAAACCCATTGTACAGATAGGGCAACTGAGGCACTGGAGGGCCAGGGAGATGCCTAAAGCTCCACGGCAAGGCTGCAGTGAAGACTTCAATCCGGGGCCCCAGACCCCATGTCTTCCTTCTGCCTCTGCGAGGGCTAAAGGGGGCTGGAGTGGAGCCCGAGGGCCACGCTGCCCGCATCTGGATGCCTGTCTCCCAGTGTCTGTGAGAAGGATGAGGACTTGGTGACCCAGGAGTTGGCGACCTGCCCACTAACCCAAGACCTACTGCAGGAGGAGCTGAGGCAAGCCTGGCCCCCGTCACGGCCTCCGTCCCCACCCCCCCAGCCCCAGCCCGGTCTGGGCCACCTACCGACCAGTCCCTCTCTTTGCTCCCAGGGTGCTTTCAAGATCTACGTGTGGCAGGGACGCATGTCCAGCCTCCAAGAGAAAAAGGCTGGCTTCAGCCCGGCTCTGGTGAGGCTGCTGGGCCCTGTCTCAAGGGGACACGGAGCTGCGCTGGGGTCTGAGGGAAGATCCGGCAGTTCCCTGAAATCTAAACCAGGACACGTCCATTCCCGGGGCCTTTAAGGAGGGGCAGCCCCACCCTGGGGCCAGGAGAAGGATCCGTCCTGCCCTAGGAGCCCGTCCAGAGGGGGACGCGGCTTTGCCCTGGGGTCTCCGCCTGGAGAGGAGGCGCCCAGTCTGAGGGTGGAGACAGTGTTCCGCCCAGGGGTCCGAGGGAGCCCCGACAGGGGTTGGGGGAGCGAGCACCCAAGAAACCGTGTGTAAAAGGGGACCGTGGATCCGCCTTGAGGTCTGAGAAGCAAATCTCACTGGGCGCTCCCTCCTTTTCGAGGAGGGGAGATAGGGCTCTGCCTGGGGCCTGGAGGGGGCTGTCATGGCCCGTCCTCCCCGGGGCCCAGACTAAAGGGACCTTGCTTGTCCTCAGGGACCTCAGAGAAGTCGGTAGGAAAGGAGCCAACTTCTTAAGCGGCTCATGAGCTCGGTTAATTAATACTGCTCAGCGCTCGGCTGGGCTGAGCCGCAGGCCCTGGAGGGTGGAGCGGAGAATTGGGCCCTCGGGCCGCGCGGCTGACAGAGCCCCCGCCCCAGGGCCTCATCCAGGCCAAAGGCGACCCGACCGACACCCACGTGGAGGTGGTGAACGCCGGCGCGGGAACAGGAGGCAGCGCAGGGTCGGTGAGCGGGTGGGGCGGGGCCTGCGGGGGCGGGGTCTGCGGGGCGGGGCCTGCGGGGGCGGGGCCTGCGGGGGCGGGGCCTGCGGGGGCGGGGCCTGCGGGGGCGGGGCCTGCGGGGCGGGGCGGCACCCAGAACATCGGCTGGGACGGAAGACCGGGCGGGACAAGGCTGGGGGCAGGGGCCTGTGAGGGGCGGGCCCTGCGGGGCGGGGCCTGGGGCGGGGCCGGTGGGGGGCGGGGCCGGCGGGCGGGGCGGCACCCAGAACATCGGCTGGGATGGAAGACCCGGCGGGACAAGGCTGGGGGGCGGGGCCTGTGAGGGGCGGGGCCGACGTGGGGCCGCACCAAGAACCTGGGCGGGATGGGAGAGCGGGCGGGACAAGGCCGGGGGGCGGGGCCTGCAAGGGGCGGGACAAGGCCGGGGGCGGGGCCGGCGAGGGGCACCCGGACGTTGGGTCGGACGCAAGAGTAAGTAGGACCAGGTGTCGGGGATCGATGGGGCGGGCAGCGGCCGACGCGGAACGAGGTCTGCGGGGGACAGACTGGGGCGCACGAGGGGCAGCACTCAGAAAATGCCACCGGCTGGGGGAGCGTGGCCGGAGGGGGGGTTTTGAGTGAGGGGCGGGCGCGGTTGGCGAGGGCGAGGACGCCGTGACACCCTGTGCCCCCCCGTCAGGTAAATCGGCTCAGGTGAGGCTGCATGTGGGCAAGCTGCCCAGCTGAGGATGGTGGTCGACGCTTCCGGGCAGGTGGGGGTAAGGGGCATTAGCCTGGCTGGGAGTAGGTAGGTGTTAGGCGTTGTCTTCGGGTGGGTGGTATGGCCGTTAACGTGCCCCAAGTGCGCATCTACAGGGACACCGCGGCCTGTGTACATATGCACACGCCCTCCCTGCCGCTGGCTCATACACATCTCGCCTAATCAGCCTTTGCAGCTGCGGCCGCTTGCTCACGTACACTTGGCACACGGCACAGTAACACTTCAGGGTACTTAATCGTGCCCTTCAGTCAACTGTATGACATGCCATACATATACCACACATATAATTCAGACACATACACACCTAGTTGCACCGAATCAGCCAAGCTAATCAGCTGCAAACGTGTAATAGTACAAACGCTGCATCACACCTCATCGCAGTCATGCACAGCACTCAGCCCACGGGAACACACCAACACAGGACACAATCACATGCAATCAGCCACAGCCCACACAGCCACACGCTGTCAGCCACCTGTCTGGTCTCAGATCAGTGTTCCATGTTATCTGATCCCTAGTAGAGCCCTTAATTCCTCTGGGCCTCAGATGTTTTATCTATAAAATGGGGGCAAAAACTATGATCCCATCTGGCCCATGGCTGGTGTGGGGATGCTGTGAGATTCTGGGAACAGGACTTCCGGGCCTATGTGAGGGGTTCCAAGTTCTCAAGGTAGGTCAAGGTCAGAGAAAATACCATTTCTCCGAGGTCACCTCCTGTATTTGTCCTAATATGCTATTAGTGAGGGGACCCAGGAGGCATGGCAGGGGAGGGGAGAGCGGGGAGAAAGGAAGACAGGGAAAGAGGACAGGGAGAGACAGAAGAGACTGAGGAAGAGAGGAGGGGAAGACAGAGTTGGGGGACTGGATGCGAGCAGGAGAGATGGGGTACGCGGGGAGAGACAGAGCGGGACAGGAAAACAGAGGGGAGAACACAGAGGGAAGGAAAGAGGTCTTGCCACTCAGGATCTAAGCACAGAGGCCGGGAGGGGACCCCTTCCAGCAGGCAGGCAGGCGGGGGAGCCCCTGACCCGGGAGGCCTCGCTGCCGAGGAGGCGCTGCCCCTGGGTAGCCTGTATGGTCGTAACAGCCTCTTCTGCGAAAGGCAGGGTTCTTGTCACTCTGCTGGAGGACACTGGCCCAGCGGCCGCCGTCAGGCTCTGTGCGGGCACACGATGCCCAGGCATGTTTCCTGCCACTGACACAGTGGGCGTGGTTGTGCCTGCTTTGCAGGCTGAGTCTCACTGCCGCCCGGGGCCTGCCTGGGATGTCGGGCTCTGAGCCCGCGCTCGCTACCCACAAGAACAGGAAATCACACCGTTGTTAAGTATGAGGAAGTCCTTTACTTTCAGTCTTTGAATAGGCTTTGTCTTTTTAAGTGACACTTGAGGAAAGAGAGTTTCCCCCAGAGCTCAAGGGCTGGTGTCGCGGGCGCGGCTTCCGCAGGCTTGGCCGCAGCTGTGCCAGGACCGGGCCGCCCCTAACTTGCCGGTGGCTGCTGGGCCAGGGCGCGGGCCCGGCTCCGTCTCAGCAGCCTCTGGAGTCCTCGCTGCTTGTGTGTCCCGGGCCCGCACGCCAACTGCGTCCTGGCTGACAGCGGCGGCGCAAGTGTGGTGGGGCCCGACTTGCGCCCGGGCCCGCGGCGGAAGGTCACCTGCAGCCCCCTGTGCCAGCCCGGCACAGATGAGGCACGCGCCGAGGCCAAGGAGAGCTTTCTGGCCGGGCACAGACTGGGTGCGCAGGTTCAAGCGGAGGCCCACCTGAGCCGTCGGCCTCTGTTCCCAGGTGCGGTGCGCCCAGGAACCCCGCGGGCAGCCGTGGGCCCCGGCGGGTCGCACACTGTGTGCAGGCAACTGCTGCCTCACCCTCCACACAGACCAGAAGACGGGCCGCGTCCAGTGTATCCTATACCTGTGGCAGGTGCGCTGGCCCGAGCGGGGTGGCCGGCACCTTCGGGCCCCGGAGCTGAGGCCCCGAGAACGGGATCTAAGAGCCGCTCCAGGCCCCCACTGTCCCCACCTGCAAGGCCGCCACGCCACCTCCCGCGACGCCGAAGGCCCGAACTGCAAAGCCGCGGAGCCCTGGTGCAGGCGCGTGTGGCCGCGGGCAGGGAGCCGCCTCGCGTCCTCGCCACGTGCCCGCAGCCCCTCACGCTCGTGCTGAGCGCGTGCTGAGCCCAGGGCCCCGTTTACCGCCCCCCCCCCCGGGGTTCCTGGTGCTGATAGACGCCAGCAGCTCCAGGAGCGGCCGCTGCTTCCGTTTCTGCCCCTGCTCCCCGGAGCCGCCACAAAGCAGAAGCACAGGACAAGGTGAGTTGAAGGGGAGTCAGGGCCTTGTCTGGGGCCCCCGTTTTCTGTCCTAAGGGAAAACATGCCCTGACTCCTCGGAGCTGGGGGCGGGATCCATTTGGAAAGGCCTGGTTCCCTCGCACAGGCTGACGGGATCCCCACCCTCACACTCAGAGGGTCTAGAAAATAGTCTAGCAGGGCCCAGGGAGTTTGTCCCTCACCGGGACAGGGAGGCGGCTCCCCAGAGCCCTTGCCTCGTGCTGAGGCCCGGCCGACTTGCAGGGGCGCACGGGGCACAGTGGGGAGGAGTGGCCTGCACCTGCCACCAGGCTCTTCCACGTGCAAGACACCGACAGCTACAATGCCAGGACCGTGGAGGTGCCAGCCCGTGCCTCAGCCCTCCCCCCAGGGATGCCTCCTCGGCCCTCCCTCCAGTGACACCTTGCTGGTCACAGCCACACCTGCGACCTCTGGTTTGGAAAGGCACCTCTACCACCGGCCTCTCGGCTTACCCCTCGGGTGGGTGCCAGGCTAGGGACGGGTCTCCGCCCCCACGAGGGCGCAGACTTCGTGTCCAGCCTCAGCCAGGCCAGGCGCGGGTTCCTGTGGAACCTGATGGTACATCTGGGAATCTACTGGTCAGAGGCAGGCCAGGCCCTGCCTCCCCTCCTTCCGGCCTCAAGCGAGGAGCATGTCCCTTCCCAGGTCTCTCGGGCGGAAGGAAAGGGGGCCAGTCCCATTTGCCAGCGTTCCCTCCAATGTTCATAAGCCATGGAGGACCCCGGGGCCTGGGGTCCCATCCCATTCTCTGCATCCGGAGGGGGTCCCGGGCCTGGGAGGGGGGAAGGCGACACCCCTTGCTCACGTGTGCCCTGCCATCGGCCTTGGCCTCCGGGGACTGGGGCCCAGCTCCCCAGAGTCCCCTGTGAGGGGGGAGGGCTGGAGGTGAAGACCCCCTCGGGGCCTGACCCAGCTCTCCGTGGGGTGGGCCAGGGCCGCAGCGGTGGCCAGCGTGAGATGGCGCGGGCAGTGGTCACTGCCATCCCTGCGGAGAACAAGGGAACGGTGCTGGAGAGTCGGGAGCCCCCCCACTTCTGGGGGGAGGCCCTGGGAGGCCAGGCCCCCTACCCCAGCGACAACAGGTACAGGATTGGGAGGAGGGCGATTTCCTTCCACGGAGGAGGCAACTGAGACCCAAAGAGGGCGGGTGGCCGCTGAAGGATCACGCAGAGAGCGGGAGAGGCACCCTGGGGCCGAGGTCTCTTGGTCCCCCGCTCCAGGCGGTCCGGGAGCACAGCCCAGCCCTCACTCCCAGCCCTGGCTAACTGGGAGCAGGAAGATGCCCCGAGAGCTGGGTCGTGGCGCCCTCTGCTGGTGAACGTGCTCCCTGCCTTGTCCCAGTCCCGGACCTTATCAGTGACCGAGGGCAAGACAGCAAAGCCCCATTTCCCTGCCCACAGTCCGCAGGGGCCGAGGTACCAGTGTGTGGGGTGGGCGTGGGCGTGACGTGTGGATAAACAGCGTGTGGAGTGTGTAAACGGACAAGGGGGTGTACCAGAAGTTAAGGCAGGGTGAGGCCTTCACGGGGCGGGGCGGGGGGGGGGGGGGGGGGGGGGGGGGGGGGGGGGGGGGGGGGGGGGGGGGGGTGTTGCTGGGTCAGGGCGGTGTGTGCGCCCCGGGGCCGGGTTTATACTCTGTACTCCCTGCAGGTCCCCTGAGCCCCCGAGTACGACTGTGCCCCTCTCTCAGCCTCTCTTCCCCTCTCCCACTTCGGGGACCAGGAGCTCCCCCCTGGGGAGGGCGGGCCCCAGCCTCCCCCCGCCCCCTCCACGCCCCGCCAGGCGGGCCGCCCCCCTCCCAGGGCCCACAGCCCGGCCGGCTCCCGGACAGGCCATGTAAGTGCTTTCCCACCGACAGATGGGCCTGGGGCCTGGGGCGTCTCTGGGGCGAATGAGGGGATGGGGGGCCAGAGGAGGCCCTGCGCCCCCTGCGGGGAAGCTGCCCCTCCCCTGGCGCAGGGGCCTGGCTTCCGGGAGGCGTGTTGTGTGTGCCCCTCACTGCCCGGCGTCCACGCTGCCCGGGCTCCCCGGGGACGCCTCCGGCCTCCAGCCCGACGGAGTGCTCCAGCCGCCCGGCCCTGGCAGAGAGGGTGCTCTTTCGCCAAGAGGACCTGGACACGTGTGACGTCATGTCACCGGACAACCTGGCAGGAGGTGGCGGCCACCGCTGTCCGGCCGGGCGGGGGTGGCAGGCGGCGTCCGTGCCTGTGCCGCCGGCGCGAGTGTGTCCCGCCGTGTGGGGCTGAGGGGGTGTGGTGGCGTGTGACGGACACCGTGAGCGACCGTGCCCTGTTGGCCACGGGGAACCGCGGGTCAGCACGAGGCTGCAGAGACGCTGCGTCCAGGACGCATGTGCGGCTGCGACCGGCTTCTAGCTGGGGCAGCTCCGCGTGCCTTGCGGCACATGCGTGTCCGTGGGAGGGCCTGCACGCGTCTGTGGGTCCCTCGCGTGGCTCCGATGGCTGCGGCCAAGCACTGGCTGTCCCTGGGGAAACTAAGCGCCTGGGTGACCGCAGGGAGTCACTGAGTGTTTGTGGGGCTGGGTCCTGTCTCTGAGACTACACACGGCAGTTTTGGGGGCTTCCTGTGTTTTCAGGGGTGCGCGCAGCTGTGGGATGGGGCGATTGTGTTTGTGGGCGGCCACGTGACTGTGGGGGTGGTGAGTCATAGCCGTGGTCGTGTGTGTCTGCCTCAGGGAGCCTGCAACACTGTGCATGCAGCCATGAGGCTCGTGTGTTCCCATCTCCCTCAGCAAAAGCGAAGCCCTTACCACAGCCCACGGGCCCGAAGGCCCCAACCCCCAGGCTGGTGTGGCCCCCCCCAAGGCCGCGGTGGCCTCCTTGCTGCTCCCCAAACATGCTCGGCCACCCTCAGGGCCTTTGCACTGGTACTTTCTCCTGGTTACAGCACTCGACTTGCTCCCACGCCTCCCCCAGATCGTTACTCAAGTGTCACCTTCTCAGGAAGGCTCTCCCTGAGTCTATTAAAATGACAGTGCAGGGGCGCCTGGGGGGCTCAGTTTCACATCCCACTTCAGCTCAGCTCATGCTCTTGCAGTCTGTGGGTTTGAGCCCCGCATCAGGCTCTGTGCTGACAGCTCCGATCCTGGAGCCTGTTTCACAATCTGGGTTTCCCTCCCTCTCTGCCCGCCACCCCCTGCTCATCTTGTCTCTCTCTGTTGCTCAAAAACAAAAAATGTTAATAAAAAATTAAAATGACAGTATCCCCCCTGCACCACACCCCCTGCCTTATTTTCCTGCCTCTGACATAGTACATATTTTACTTATTTACTCTCCCCACTGAAATGAAAGCTCTATGAGAGCAGGGATGTTTGCCTTTTTTTTTTTCCCCATTGCTGAACTCCCAGTGCCTAGAACAGCGCCTGGCACACAGCAGGTGCTCAGTAAATATTTGTGGGTTGAATGTACACATCCATGCCATGTCATCTTCCGGCACGTTGATGGGTGTGGGGGTGCTGGCTGTGCCTGGTGTCTGGGGGGTGTGAGACCATCGAATGGACAGAAGTGGGAAGAAGTGGGCAGCCCTGGGCAGCCCCTCCACTCGCCCCAGGCCAGGCGCCCTCTGTGGCTTCGGGAAGCTGCCAGTACGTGGAAGAAGGCGCTGGTGGACTGGGGCTGGGAGTGCGGCAGGGAGGAGCCCCGCCACGCCCCGTGTGCCGGTCAAGCAGAGCCATGAGCCCCCCCACCTTCGCCGGATGGCTCCCCACCTGGGACCCCTACAAGTGGACTGTGAGTGAGGCCTCAACCCCCAGGCCCCCCCCCCCAGGGGAGTGTGCCCTGAGCCTGAGCCGACTGGGAGGAGGCAGGGACCTCCCATGGGGGGGGGGGGGGCGGAGGCCCGGTCTTGCCCTCAGGCCCCCTCCGGGTCCCAGCGGTGCCCTCCACCCGGCCCCCACCCTGACTCTTGCCCCCAGAGCAGCCAGTCCCACAAGGAGGTGCTGGAGGGCAGCCTGGGAGCGGCGCCGGCCACAGCTGAGGTGACAGCAGCGAGCACAGGGTCCTCCGGGCTCCCACCAGGGTCCGCGCTCGCTCCGCACAATCCGGATGGGCAGAACGGGCCCTGGCGGGTGGCAGGGTCTGCACTGGGGGCCCCGTGGGAGCCTCTCCACCCTGCCCCAGCCTCAGTCCCCTCTCGGAGCAGGAGCGCCACACCTCCCCTCTGTCCAGAGGGCCAAGCAAGGGCAGGCCCCCCAGGCCCCCCAGGCCGGCTCAGGGCATGGGCTGCAGCCAGGACCCAGGGCAGGGGCGCCGGCACCGGCTCCAGCGGCCACCACGGCAGCCCCCGCCCGCGGTCAGGGGAGCCCGCCCCGCGAACAGCTGCCACGTCGGGCTGCCCAGGACCCGCCGGAGGGTGTGGGCCCAGCCCTCAAGGGGGCGCCCACCGCCCCTGCCACTCACCACCCCTAAACCTGAGCCTACACCTGAGCCAGAGGAATCCGGGCATGGCCCGCTGGGGGTGGGCTGTGGGCAGGTCACCTGGGGAGACGTGTGACGGGTGGGGAGACGTGGGAGAGGAGACCTCGGGCCCTGTGAGGACACCACTGGGTGACAGGCCTGGGTCCTGGGCTCCGCTGACCCCGGTCCCTGCACCCTCTCCCCGCCAGCTCTACCTCTCAGATCTGACTTCCAAGAGATCTCTGGGAAGTCCAGGAAGAATTCTGTAGCCTGGCAAGTGGCGGCGGCGGCAGCAGACGCAGCTCAGCTTTTCCTGAGCCCAGGCCCCGTCCGTGTCTGTGCCGCTAATGTGGCCAGACCCCCAGGGGTGCCTTCCCTGCATGTACCTGAGCCCCCGGTGGCGCCCTGCTGGCATTCCCCGGTCACCCCCTCCACCCCAGTCAATAAAAGTCCATGCCCCCCCCCCCAAGTCCGTGTTGCCTGGGCTTGCAAGTCTGGGTCACCTGGTAGGTCCACCTCTGGGGCTGGAGGGAACATTCCAGAGGACTGAGCTCTGTCTTCCACGGAGGGCTTTGTTTCTTGCTGGCCCTTGCTGCCCAAAGGGACAGACAAGCCTACAGTGGGGGGGGGGGGGACAGAGATGGGCTGGGGCCAGTGTTCCCACACGTGTGCACACACGCGCCCTGTGTGGGGCTTTTTCCGGCATTCAGGTAAAAAGACCACAGGACTCAGTCTTATGATTTTTATAAAAACCCTCAACCTAGGGCTGGCGGAGGGCAGAGGGCTGCAGTGTTTTTCCTAATGGCACGGAGGAGCGCGCCAGGGACCGAGCGGGCCCCTGCGACCGCAGAGGCAGCAGCTGTGACAGTGTGTCGGAGCCGGAGGCAGCTGCAGGCGCCCCTGCAAGCGGACAGAAGACCCGGCCTGCTCGCCGCCGCCAGAGGCTGCGAACCTAGTCCTGGATGGACACCTTCACAAACAGGGTGGCAGACGGGTGCTGGTCTCCATTCTTTGACAACAGGTGGACGTGGCGGTACCCTGGCAGGTGGGGGGGGGGGGGCAGGAAGGAACACACGGAGGGTCCCGGTCACTCGAGGACGATGCTTCGAGGGACGGCGGGCTCCGCCTCCCCGACCTGGTCTCCCCGCCTCCACCCCCACTCACCCTGCTTGAGGCTGCCCAGGGGAATGGTGCTCTGGCCAATGAAGTCGTTCTTAGAGGAGGCGTCATAATCCTCCACCACGAAGCGCACCAGGGCGAGCTCGGGCACGACCACCTCAAACTCAAACTCCGTGTCCCACCAGGGGTTGAAACCTAGGGGTACACGCACCACGTCAGCCGCGCGGACACCAGCGCCAGTGGCCGGCCCCGCCCAGGCCCAGCAAGTACCGTTATTGGTGACCACCGCGGTCTGGCGGCTCGCCATGTCCCGGCCCACACCGTGGATCTCCACCGTCACCTTGGGGTCCACAATCGAATTCTTATTCTTGTTGACTTTTGGCAACTGCTGCCCGGAGATGACCTGAAGAAAGGCAGGGGGCTGAGGAGTGGCGGCGAGGGAGAGGGGAGGCCCCAGGCTCCTGTCCCCCTGGGGGCCGGCCATACCCTGACACGGAGCCGCTTCCGGGTCCACCAGGGCCCCTGAGCCAGAGCTCGAGAGTTAAAGGTAGAGTCCGGGTCTCGCAGGAAGGCGGGCTTCAGCACGTAACCACAGGCCCCGTTGTCCTGGAAGCGCCCCTGGTACAAATCCATCTCTGGGCCGGGCGTCTGGAAATTCAGGGCCACTGTAGGCAAGACAGGGCAGCCACACACAGGCTGAGGGCTGGTCTCGGGGCCCTAGAGCCCACCTGCGCAGGGTAGACTGAGGCCTTAGAGCCACGTGGGGAGGCAGAAGCAGGGTCCAGCGTCACGCAATGCCTGCTTCCCTCCTGCCACTCCCTGACCCACCACACCAACCTCCCATTTTCTTTCTGGGGCCAGAATTCAAAGGACCAGTATGCTAACGACGAGGTTTCAGACGCTGTGACTTGCTAGTGGTGGGATTCTTTCCATACTGAGACTACCAGCTCCTGAACCCACAGTGCCCTGCGTCCGGCCCCAGCCGGGTCCCCAGAAGCTCCTGGCCCCTGGCCCTCTGGACCGAAACGCTCCCCCAGGCCTCCTCGCAGCCTCCGGCAGCCCCCGGCAGCCCGTACCGATCTGGCAGCCCCCGCTCCACATCTCCACGGGGCTGTAGTTGGAGGAGTCCGTTCTCCACCCTGCAGGGTAGATCCTGCTCAGGTGAGTCACGTTGTGCCGAACAAAGCTGTTTCCTGAGAAGGGTCCCCGAGGTCAGAAGTGCAGACCTCCTGGTGAGCCCAAGACCCTCCTGCCCCCCCCCCCCCAGCTCTATCTGCTAACAGCAGAGAGGGCCGACTCTGCCAGTCCCGAGCACGGGGAGCCGGGCCTGCCCCTGACCTGACCGGTGCAAATGGTCAGACAGATGGACAGCACCCGAGGGGGCAGGGCCAGGGCTCACCTGCTTCTTGGAGCAGTCGGAGGGCACGGTTCTCGGAGAAGGACACCATCTCATAGAAAGCCTGCCCTGGGGTGCCGGGGCTGGAGAAGCCCCCAAAGCGGACACTCTTGCAGTAAATGACCATATCGGAGAGCTCCTGCACTAGCCTGAGCCTGTCCTCCTGGGGGCCACGGGGAGGCCCAGGTTAGATTCGGAGGTCGGGGCACTGAGAGAGCCAGAAACCCAGACACGGAGAGACAGAGGGAGACAGACAGAGAGAGGGGACAGAGGGTCTGAGTGGCAGCCTCGGAGAGCTGAGACCAGGCAAACATCCCGTGATGGAGGAGGTCCCCGGCGGCCCCGCCCCCACGACTCCCCCTCGAACCCTGGGCTTGTGCTGCACTCGGCTCCTCACGGCCTCGTCCTCCATCTCAGCAGCCTCATCCTCGTCAGACACGACAGTGGCTTCGGGGCCACCCTCCCCAGCAGGGGGCAGGAGCCCCCCAAGCTTCTTCCCCTTCAGCAAGATCTTTCCCTTCAGTTGCTAAGAACGGAGAAGCAGCTGGTCAAGACCCATCCAGCTGGCCTCGCAGCCTGTGCCCCTGCCCTCTCACAGGGGGACCCCGCGCCCGCCGCGGACCTCCGGGGACGGCAGACTGGTGGTGGCCCCGTCCAGCGGCCGGTCCAACAGCATGGGGCCCAGGACGGTGCGCAGGTGTCGCGCCATCACACGCTGCTGCTCCAGGCTGCAGTGGTTCTCCAGGGACAGGATGACGGGGTAGGGGGACGCCTGGAGGCCCCAGGGAGGTTAGGAGGGGGGGCCGCCGCTACTGCGGCCCTCCTCACCCGCCGGGAGCGCGCCCACCTTGAAGGCGTAGTCCCGGATGGCCCTGAGCACGTCGCAGAGGAGGATTTTGGAGGTGAAAGTGTAGCCGTGGTAGATGATCGGCTCCAGGTTGGGGCCGTCCCAGCAGTCGAGCTCCAGGCAGCGGCAGCCCTTGCACAGCGCCCTGCGGGTAGGCGTGGCGGCTAGGCCCTCCGACCGCGCCCCTCCGGCCCCGCCCCCTTCCCGTGCCCCGCCCCCCGGCTGCCCGGCCACGCCCCTCCCCGGCCCCGCCCCAGGCAGGCCCGCCCCGCCCCGGCCCCGCCCCCCGGCTGCCCGGCCCCGGCCCCGCCCCCGCCCCGGGCCCCACCGGATGTAGGCCTCGGTGCTGCTGGGCCCGGTGAGCTGGTCCTCCAGCAGGTAGGTGTTGTGCGAGGACGACACCAGGTAGTGGCTGAGCGGCTGGCCCATGTCCTGGTAGACCCGCCGGTGCGCCAGGCTGAAGGCGCTGCCGTCGGCGGACAGCAGGTACATGAGGAAGCCGTCCTTGGTCATCTGCCGCTGCGCCCTGGCTGCGAGGGAGGCGGCGGCCAGTCAGGGCTCTGCCGGGCGGCCACCTCCGGTAGAGCTTCCCTGCGCCCCGTCCCGAGCTCTGCCTTGCTCGCGCTCGGAGGAGGGAAGTCTCATCAGTCGTCAGACTGTGATCACCGCAGTGGGGCTGGCCCCCCCGCCCCCCACACCCGGGGCCACATCTCCGTGGAGCCTCCAGACCCGGGCGGCGCAGGGCGGGCGCAAAGAAGGACGCAGGAGGAGGGGCTGCCATTCCAGCCTCCTCGTCCCTGGAGGCTCCGCAGTCCCCTCTGGAGAAGGAACCGAGAGGGGTCGTGGTGCCGGAGCCGGCCCCGTCGTGGGGCAGGCCGAGCCCCCTCCCTCCAGCCCCTTCCGCTCGGGCTGCGGCCCCCCAGGCCTCCCCCAGCCCGGGGGCCAGGCCTCCGCCAGCCCGGGGCGGCCCCAGCGTCGGCGGCCCCGCCAGGCCCTCACCCGCCTCGCTGGGTTCGTAGCGCTCAATGAGCGAGAGGGCGAGCGCGGGGCCGGCCGCCTCCTCCCGCTGCTGCTGCTGCAGGAACGTCACTAACTGGTCCACGGACAGCGCCCCCCCGGAGCCCGCCGCCTCGGCGAAGGCGCGGTCAATCTCGGCCCGCTGGGTCAGCATCTTGTAGAAGACCTCAATCTCCTCGTCCTCCAGCGAGTCTGTCTGGGAGCGGTCACATTCCTGCAAGGCCACGCGGGCCGGGCTCAGAGCGGGCACCCCACTAGGCCGGGGCCCCCCAGTCCCCGCCCCTCCCCCCCCGGCCGGGCCCAGAGCGGGCACCCCTCTAGGCCAGGAGCCCCCAGCCCCCGCCCCTCCCCCCCCTGAAGATCCTCCGGGCGTAGCTGTCGTCCACCTGGATGTTGAGCTCCTTCAGGAAGTTCTGCAGCTCCTTGAAGCTCATCTTGTTGTCCTTGTTTTTGTCAGCTTTTCGCAAGCAAGAGTGAATCCAGCTGGGCAAGAAGTAAGGAAAGAACCAGGAGCCCTGACACCCCCGAGGTCCCAGCTGGAGCCGTGTTTCCAGCTCAGGGTTGGGTTAGCTCCTGGGCCCGGGTGGACTCAGACCACCCACCAGGAAGTCCCGCCGAGTAACTGCACACCAG